GGTCAGGTTTTAGGGTGGTGTTCGGATGTTCCAAATTTTCCGCGAATTTCCAAGATCTGTAATGGGCGATCAGGTCAAAACAATAATCTTTAGATTCACAACACAGTTTCAATTTCTGTTAGCTGGCTGCACCCACCCTGTATCCAATTTGCCCCCCTAATGATCTTGTGATGATATATCATCATTTGTGTGCTGTCATGTTGCTGTGTGCTGTTGATTTGGCCGGTTTGAAATGGATCTGAAGCTTTCCCCTAATTCATGTTAGTAGTATCTAAGCATCCCAATGGAAATAAGAACACCATTTGAACTGTTACATTTCATCCAACAATGCATCATAACCTTTTGATGGTGGGTAGTGCTAAGAAATCAAAGTCAGATCCAAACAGAAATCAAATGTGAATGTTAGATCTGAGAAAACCCAGGTAGTGCTATCCAAACAAACTGTTATCAATACTAATTCTTCAAATCAAAATGAAATCTTCCATCATCAAGTTAAACCATAATGTATGTTGCAGAAACATATCCAAACAGAAGGTTTTTGATATACTTATCCCAAACACAACTATCATAATACTTGATTTGATCAACTTGAAAAGATGAAATCAATTCGTGTTGATGGGGCCTCAAATCCTGCTGTATGATATGACTGTCTTCATCACCTCCAAAAACCCCAGATCCATCAAAAGTTCAAGATACCATAATCCACTTCAGTATCAGAACAACTTATCAAAGATGGCACAATCCCTTTATTTGAAACTTGAGTATAAATTTATCATCAGTGAGTCCAAAACTAAACCAAAAACCACCAGCTGAGCTCCAGAAAGATTAAGCTTCAACAACATTTCATAATCACTGCTCCACCTAACACATGCTACCTCAGTATCCCTTCACAATCGTTACCCAAGCTCTTGGTATGTGTGTGTCTCTGGTTTCTTTGGAAAAGTTATCTTTGTGTTTATTTCAAAAATGCATTCACAATGTGTGGTCCCATGAGATATGTGTTGGTTTCCTAGGTGACTTCAAGGTGCATTTTCCTTAATGGACTAAGAATCTTTGTTCAGTTACACAAAGAGAGAGAGTATGGTGAGCATGGCCAAACAAGAGATAGAGAATTGGATATTACTAGAGATCTACTTAGTTGGTTATATTTACTCATATTAAGGCTTTATTGTTGATTTTGGTGTTTATTGGCTATATATGGTGTTTTCCAAAATTTGTATGGTAAAATGGTCAATTCAGCACTTTTTGAAAAAAAACAGATTTTTGCCCAAAAACCAAGTTCCAGGGAAATTTGCCAAAACGATTTTTTGATTAAATTTTGATTTTTTTTTCAAAAATCCCAAAATTGGGTAAAATATTTGTTTTTGTGGAATGGGATAGGATTTAAGTGAGATGACGTGGATAGATGAGGAGGAGGAGGAGGAGGAGGACTATAAAGAGATATTAAGGTAGATTGAGATAGATAATATAATGATTGTTTTGGATGGTAATGATAAGGAACTATTGGTTGTGGGGTGTTTGTTGTTGTTGTTGTTGTTGTTGGTTGATTGGATCACTGGCGGTAGTGTACTACTGGAAAGGTACTGGGTTAATATAGGTATTTTGAGGCCAAAATACATGTGTTTTTGAACCCAATTATTTGTAGAAGATGGGTTTATGATAGCTGGTTTTTCAATTTGTACATTATAATTTCTTGTAAACAATGCTGCATAGAAGGTCGTTTTTACCCTCGTATAGGCTAATCTCTATGTTTTCGCGAAAAGAGGAATTCGAGAATCACGATTGAGCATGAACTTTCCGAAATAGCTGTACAATTTTATTTGCTTCTAACCCTTATGCTTGTTTTGAACGTACTGATGATCAAAGGTACACTCTAATATACATTTTTTTGCTTTCACTAATCGTATGAATGAAGAGACATTCAAGAGCACGAGATCGCCGAGAATCGCCGGCCGTGTAAAACCGTAGAACACCTGTCAGCCCAAATTATGACCATCCAATTAAGGAAATGATCATGACTCCAGCTATATACAGATCATCAACCTGAGCTTCTTATGCAATTGCAATTTTATTTGTACTAATATCAGTCATTTTAAAAAATCAAGTATAAAATTAAGATAATTTAGCATTACAAAAACTTATAATTAAGTTCAAAATTAAGAGAATTAATTAAGTAAAAATTTTTTTTATTCAAACACCTTTGGATTTAGCTGAATATGAGTTCCTATGATATTTTATGACTATTAATGTTATTTTTGATATGAGGTAACTAAATACTTTTAGTGAAATAAATAAGTATTTGTATTCCAAATACACGGCTGACTAACAGCTGAGTAAGCAAAAAGTTTGAGAATTATACAACTAGGCCTGAGCTCTTCACATTAATTGAGAGATGGTTTGGAATGAATGTGAAGCCATGAATTTGAGAGCCTCTAATCTATTAACTTTAGGATTGAACCGCAAGAACTTATTTTGACTTTTCAACTTTCTCATTTCATTACGCAGTAAGTGTTGATTTTCTCGCGAATTCAAATCAAGAAAAAATTATAATACACTTTGGATCAACAAGTAGTAGCACAATTCATATATTCCTTAAAGCTCGAAGAAATCCATAATGAATTCATTGAAAGAGGTAGAGAAAAAGAGAAAACAAGTTTTCAAGCCGCTTCTTGAGAATCCTTTCACCCAAGCCCAGTTTCCGAGAATAGAGCCAATTATCCAAGAACAGCTACTTGAGTTTCTGCTCCATATTTTGCTAGATGTCAAGAAATACAATACTCTAGTTGACTCCAAACCTTCCTTCAAGGTAGAAAAGCCAGAGATCTTGAGTAATATCACATTGGGATTCAATAGCACTGTCCAAGCATTAGAAAATCAAGCACAAGATAAAAAACAAACACCCAAGCTATCATTTATTGTTGTATGTAAAGCTGATATCCAACCACAGCTACTCATTTCACAATTTCCTGTTCTATGCTACACAGCATCAAAACAGGATCATAAAATCAAGCTAATCCAACTGCCCAAAGGAAGTATAGACAGAATTGAAGAGGTTTTGGGAAAGAAAACAGGGATAATAGGGTTACAAAATTTTGAAAACTTGCCAGAAGGGTTCATAAAATTAATAGAGGAAGAAGTGAAAAATATTGAAGTACCATGGTTAGAAAATATAAGCTTTGTTTCCCCAAAGATTAAGATGTTGAAGACAACTGCCCCAATAATGCCTAAGAGGAATAAGCAAAAGACTAACAAAGTCCAAAAGAGTTGAGAGGATAAAAAGTTGAGTTTGAACAGACTACATGCAGTATTTTTACTAGAAGTACATTTTATAATACAAATTACACCCTTTTAATGAATTTAGATAATGTATGAAATGATCTGACAACATTTTGTTTAGAAATAGCACCCCCATTGAATGTCCTGTTGAACTCTTTTGCGAACCCGGCAGTAAATGCTCCTCTAATTTGTGGCTTGTCATGGGTGAAATACTTTTCTGAAAACCTCTTTTTGAAATTTGTTGCACTAAATGGATCAGAAGTTTTCATCATATTCATATACAGCAAAGTTTTAGCTCTTGTCATTGCAACGTAAACCAAATTCTTTGATTCTGGCTTATAATCATCACCAGTGGTTGAACCCAAGACGAAAACTATAGGAAATTCCAAACCTTTTGCAGAGTGGATGGTGCTCAATTTGACAGAGTTTTTAGTTTTTGAAATTGGTAATGAATTCATATAGTTTCTCAAAAAATGTTCTGTTAAAAAAGTATCTGCAGCTTTGAAATTATTGGAAAGTTTTAAATTTTCAAAAAAATCCAACAGTTGATTATTGATATTATCTTTATCAGCAATTGTCTTTATAGTTTTCGTAACTTCTTTTCTTAGGCCCAATTCATTACCCAGGTGTAATAGATGGTTGAATATTGAATCAGCATCATCAAAATTAATCTTTTGTCTAGTTTCTTCAATCAGATCAAAATATGGGATCAATTTAGGAGGTAAAGAGTTCTTTTCACGCAAATTCCTCAAATATTCCCACATTGATAGTTCAGAAGTGAGTGCACCTTTGTGGAATTTCTTTATAGTTACAGGTCCAACACCAGGGATTAAAGCAATTGTACAAAGTACTGGGAAATTAGAGGACTCTGGGGCAAACAATATCCTCAAGTAGTCAATCAGATGAAACAATCCATCAGACAGCCAAGAAGGATTTGAACTCAATTTATAATCCAACAAACCGTAAAAGTTCAAGCAAGTTTTGAATCTAGACAATTCCCCATTTGTTTTTGCCAAAATGGTTATATCATTAGGTTCAACAACCCCTTCACTATCTTCCAAAATCCGAAGTATCTCTGTTGCAACCCATTCATGTTGGTTTATTACATCAGTGAAAAGCTTTGCAACTGGTTTAAACCCACTGATACCCTTTAATGCCAAAGATGGAGCTTCCCTTTTCATAAGGTTATCTGATGCTTCAATTATCTCAGGTGTTGATCTAAAACTTTCTGATAAATAAAGTTTGTCTATTGGTTTGAAGTTTTTTATGGTTTTATGAACAGAAGAATTAGACCCTAAAAAGCCATAGATCGATTGATATGGATCACCTGCAGTTATCAAATGTGCATTTCTAGCTATCAGTTCAACAAGTTCATAAATGCCAGGATAAACATCTTGAAATTCATCAACTATGACCACTTTATAAGGTAATGACACACGACCATCCCTTATATATGCTTTCGCACCTCTCATCACATCGGAATGAATCAAAACATTAGACGTATCCAATGTTTGCATCACATCTTTCAATTCAGTCATTTCAAGCTTGAATTTTCTGCAAACATTTTGTAAATACTTTTCGTTCCATCCATCCTTCCTTATTTGGTCAACAATCTCAATCAATTGATATTTATTAACTTTATTCCCCAGTAATCGAACCAAAGTTCTCCAACCAGCGTCTTCAATGATTTGAATCCCATTTTCTTGACTCTGATCATTATTAATCACACATCTGTGGGCATATCCATGGAAAGTAGTAACATCAACAGAATTGTTTTCACCAAGTATATTTGATAATTGAGTTTGTAACGCCTCAACAGCTTTATTTGTCATTGATAAAACTAAAATCTCTGAAGGATTGATCCCCAAATTCCCAATCATGTAAGCAATCTTGTAGACCAGAGTGGTAGTTTTACCAGATCCAGGACCTGCAACCACTTGAAGTGTTGTTGCTGTGTCTACTGGATGTGTTATAACTTTACTTTGAGAAGGAGTGACTTGAACTTCATAATCATGGAATTCAACCATACTGTCTTGTTCAGCTTGTTGTTCAGCTTGACCAGCTTGCGAATCAGTTGGCTCTATCTGTGAGAAAGACATGTCATGTTTATGAGGATAACACTGAAATTATTTGACTCAAGTTGAAAAAAAAATTAGTCCTGTTTATGTTTATGTTTATGATTGTGATATACTTTTTCTTGACTGGTCAACTTCTATAGCTTTTTTTGTTATTTTTTTGGACCTGGGCCACGATTAATCACTACAAACTCAATATTTTCGATATTCATGAAGGAAAAAAATATCTATTCTCATTGCGTTTATTTTGGTTTATACGCTTCCACTAGTAGCTTGAAATGCTCAGTTTCTGAATCTGCTAAAGCTCCTTCACATTCTGTTAAGATACCCAAAACAAATGAGTAATTATTATACAAAAATAATTCATTCTGCTTCAAATTCTTGCTCATCTTTGTCAAAACTGATTCATAATCATTCCTTAATCTTTGAATACTGTTGTATAGTGGCTCTTGTGTAGTTTGTTGCTCTACTCCAGTCAATTTCAAAAACCCACTCAGCAAATTGGCAAACTGTAGAGTTAATGGATGTGCAGTTGTTGGCTTCATACCACTTATAGCCGAACTTTTTGAACTTGATCTTTTCATATTTTCACAATTCATATCGATTAAGCTTTGAAACTTTGGCCATAGTGTAATCATTTGTAAATTTAGATAATCCTCGATAACAGGTATTCTTCTTCTTTGTAGTTCAAAAACTAATCCCTGGGATAATCTAATCAATATTAAAACACCAAAGATATCAAAAGTATTTGTGATCAACTCTTTAGTGAAACTAATACCCAATTGGAAAGTGGTTGAGAAAATCTGTTCAAAAACACCATTAACCTCAGCATCTAATTGGAAAAACTCCATCAGGAATAAATATTCAACACTTCCATTGTCAATAATTGCTAAATTAAAACTTCTGAAAGCAGTCTCCATATGAAACTTCAGTTGATTATATTCAGCGATCTGTGCAGGCATAACAGTAGGATCCTGAGCATGTATAATTTGTCCTCTTTTACCCAAGGAATAATCACCAACAGCGATGTTTTTCTTGAAAATCGATTGAGTTCCACCAATTAATGATTCTCTATCAATTGTATGCAGTGTTAACTTTGTTAATGATTGTAAATATCTTTGGAAATGTGCATGGTAATACCATTTCATTGTGTAAACATATGCTTGTCTCAATTCCAATGCTAATGATGGAGCTCTCTGTTTGAGGAAAGGATATATATCACGGCATTCAATTAATTGGTTTTGAACAACCTGTGAAGGCGTTCCTATTGTTCTTAGTCTTTTAATTTTAGCAACCATAAAGTTTTTGATCCGCTCAATGGCTTTGATGTATAAAAGATCTAATGTTTTAGTTAATGTGTCTAATGACTTCAAATTTGGATATTTTTCTTTGTATTGTTGATAGATTTGAGTCTTTTCTTGCAAAAACTGAAGATTATCACACCAGGATTGATTCAAGTCACCATTATATACCGATTTTATAACATCTGGTGGAATTATAAGATCTGAAACTATAGGTGTATATTTGCTCTCTAATTGTTGACGTGTTGTTAAATTTTCCGACAGATTGACTGACTTGAGCTTCAAATTTTCTAATTCTTTTGATAACTCAATCAATTTGTTGTTGAAATCCAATAGATAATCCCCTAATGGAGTGATGATCTTATTGAACAACTCCACTGTTGATTTAAACTGGAGCAATTGTTCCAATTCATCGTTAACATCATCAGGTTGTGACTGGGAAGTTGTTGATAAATACCGTATCTCATCTAAGGATGAACCTTTTGACAAATCTATACCGTCTAAGTCATAAGTATCTTGTTGTTGATCATCTATTATGTATAGTTCAGACCCCAAAATCTTTTGCAAAGCCTCTATCGGGTTTCTTGTGGCTTGTTCCGTCCCTGTTGGTGGGTGTTTGGATATAGAACGTCTCGAGATCCTTTTAGTAGCGCCTTCTTGCTCCATTGATTTTCTTTCACAGCTGAATGGTCTTTTCTTGAAGAAGAACAACTTTGGTGTTGTTGTTTACACCGGCATTTCCAAAATTTCGGAATTTTGGTGGTGATATTGTCACGGATATAATTGACAGATCAACTACTCATATCTTAACAAACGTACTTATATATTTGACAAATCTAAATCCGAGGCAGCAAGCGGGCGTATAGGAATGTTTGAGTCAAAGTTCAAATCTTTATTTAAAATCTCTTCATCTGTTGGTGTATTGTGCGCTTGAGATTCTGCTTTCACTGGAGATGGAGTCATTGGAGTACCTGTGTTTGAATGTCTTGAATAATGATGAATATCTAACATCTTATATAAGTCACGAGAACGCCCAAGAGAATGCCTTATGAGGTTGAATCTTTGGGTTTTTGTAAATTCGTTCAGCGTGTTCTCATCTGGTTGATGCGTTGGAACTGGACTTGATGATTCATCTTCTCCCTCGCTTAAAGTTGATAGTCTAGTACCTGACAGGATATCACGACGTCTTCTGAAACTGAAAAATGAACTAGACAATGAAAGCCTTCTATGCCTCGACCTAGGAGGTGGTGATGTACGTAACAATTGAGGGTGATCCCACTCTCCACTAACTCCTGTCATACTTCTGACTGAACTGTTATCAATACTAAAGTTTTCAAAAAGACTAGGTTGAATATCTGGAGTCAGAACACTCGATTGTGAAGAGGACATTCTGCCACTAGATCCATCCCTCATATGACCAGAAGTTGCTCGCTCTTGCTCACTTGCTTGGGTATCTGTAAGTAGGATATAATTATTTGGCGAGTCTCTAAGACCCGAACCACCTAACTCAGAACCAGATTGAGCAATAAATTCAATTGGAGGTATCCGCGAAGGGGGAAGCTGTGCAATTTCTTCAGGATCACTCAAAGTACTAAGTGGACTATCTTCCATCACATTGAAAGGTAGTCTGGTATTTGGTCTAGTTGGGCTAAGAGGTATGATGTGATAGGAACTTTCATCTCTTCTTATTTGAATAGGTTCCACGGTGGTTCCAAAATTGAACAATTCTGGGTTTCTCAAATTGGTATCTCTATTAACGGATTCTGATGATAAACTAAAAGCCAACACAGTTGCAGACTCATGCCCTAAGCTATTTGAGAATGCTATCTGTTGATGTTGTTGTTCTTGCTGAGTTGATTCTTGCTGCTGTTGTGTTGATGCACGTCTTCGACGACCTCGACGGCTCACAAAGTCGAGAAACCTTCTTAGCTGGGATACCCTTGTGGTTGGAACTGACCTCAAATGAGTTTCAGCATCTTCAGCAGGCTCAGTTGGAGGGATCTCAGTTGGAATTGTTGCTGATATAGTTGGAACTATTGGGGCCTCGTGTTCAATTATGGGTGAGGGAAGTAAATCTCTAAATGATAATGAAAGCTGGGATGGGTTGGTGAAGTTGGATTGAAACATCTCTCATTACCTTCGCACTCTTAATTGTATGAACTTTCTCAGTATGGTATTCAAAGACATGTTTATCACTCTCACCTGGCTTTATCTTGGGACCATTGACACAAAACCATGACGAGCACACCAAACTTCAAGAACCGCTTTCAAATGAGAAATGGGAAGTCACCCATTGAGCTGTCATGCAAATAATTTCCAGAGAACCACAAGCTTCCATTCTGGTATATGAAATGCTCCACTCTTGAAAGTCCAAACATACATCATTTTGTTTCTGATTCGACCTGTTGCATTGATGATTTGGTTGTTTTTGTAGAACGGATTCGCGAAGTTGTGTTTTTGTTTTTCCAAGGCTGATTTCAGTTGGTTTTGACAAGTGACAAGTTTAGCTCAACATCATAACAACGGAAAGCTTATCATTTGCTGATAGATATTTCATCAATTGTACCTAGGAACAATCCCAAAGGAGCTATACACAACAATATCACAAGAGCACTGGCTGCCAACTTATCAGGTCTCAATTGATTCAGTTTCAAATTTCCGCAATACTCAAGAAAAGAAGGGCCAATTATCCCCTTAGAGACTCCAAACAACTATTCTTTCAAAGAAGTTTGAGCAAATCAAGGCAGATCTCAACTCAATTCAACCAAAATAATCACAATTTGATAGAAATTCACACCGTCTGACAGACTTTTCAATCAAAAGCTACCGTTCCAAGTGATACCGCTAATCTGAAATTAGCATCTAGCTTCCAATTTTTTTTGACATACTACGCATTTATGATCACATTGATTTAATAACAGATCTTAAAACAACATACAGACATACTACACATCTATCACAATGACACTTGATCCCAAAAGGCTCAATCCCAACAAGTTTTCCTTCACCAATGATGATTTGACAGATAGTGCCTCCATTTATACCCTCGAGGATGAACTATCAGACACTCATCTCAATACCCCATCACCAACAGCTCAGCAAACACAACCGGGATCTTATGAGGTTTATGATTTACCCACCCATATTTCTAGTCACCATGACGTTTTGCAAGATGATTATGCAAGGACACAACCCTCTACACCCGTTGGTACCCCTTATCAAGAGAGACCGAATCATCCATTGCGGGCTCTAACGTCCACACACCTAGTGCTTAACCAACAGAATGGGACAGATGATAGTCTTGTATCTCTAGATGGAACCCCAAGAGGTATTAGTGGTGCATACAGCCCTAGAGCCATCAATGATCAATCCCAGGAAGACAGTGAAGATTGGGACAAGAAAGGTGCTGCACAAATGGTTAAAAGAGAAACAGATGAGTTGACAGGTGAAACAGAGGAGATTATCATAAGAAGAAGTGTCAAAGATTTCAAATTTGGAAAGACATTAGGGGTTGGTTCTTATTCTACTGTCCTGTTAGCAACTGATAAAAACACTGGAAGAAATTTTGCAGTCAAAGTGTTAGATAAACGTCATATTATTCGTGAAAAGAAGGTGAAATATGTCAATATAGAGAAGAATACATTGAACAGATTAGGTAAAAGGGATGGTATTATTCATTTATTCTTCACATTTCAAGATGAATCAAGTCTTTACTTTGTGTTAGATTATGCATCCAATGGTGAGCTATTGAATTTGATTAAACAATATGGATCATTGAATGAAGAAACAACAAGATACTATGGTGCCCAAATATTAGATGCTATCAAGTACATGCATGATAATGGTGTTGTTCACAGGGATTTGAAGCCTGAGAATATATTGCTAGATGATCGTAAAAGAGTTCAAATAACAGATTTTGGTACTGCTAAATTACTAGAGAAGAATGATGCTGGTCGTTATCCTTCTGATACCAAGGCAAAATCATTTGTTGGTACTGCTGAGTATGTTTCACCTGAATTGTTGAATGAAAAAGCTATAGGCAAACCTTGTGACATATGGGCATTTGGTTGTATTTTGTATCAAATGATTGCAGGTAAACCTCCTTTCAAGGCCACCAATGAGTATTTGACTTTCCAGAAAATTGTCAAATTACAATTTGCATTTACAGCCGGATTTCCAATGAGCTGCAGAGATTTGATTAAAAAAATTCTTGTGTTGAACCCAAAAGATAGATACACCATCAAAGAAATTCAACAGCATCATTTTTTCCAATCTATTGACTTTAATAATCAAGAAGAGTCAATTTGGTTACCTGATCCTCCAGAAGCTGGACCTTACAAAGTCTCGGCCAAGTCAATGTTGCCAATTCCTGAATTGAATAATAATAATAACAATAGCCAATCAAGATTGAAAACCAGCTTACCTCCAAAAAGAAATACATCGTCGTCATCCACTTCAATTCCAACTACTGGAAGTACCAATGATAGCAACTCATCAATAGATGCCCAGGCAACTACATCCAATGAACCAAACCAACCTACTCAAAGTCAACAAGTGCTCATGAGAGCAAAAGCTGCAGTAGCTGCTAGAAAGCAACAAGAAGCTAACAAAAGAGTCGTGAGTACCGGGAACGCAGCAAATGCAGCCTCTATTGCATTGTCACGCCAGCCTAATGAAATAATAAAAGCTTATAATGATAAACAAGACAAGGATAAGAAAGTCAAACAGGAGGTTGATAAAATAAAAACTCAACAAGATGAAGTGAAAACTCCCCCATTAAGTGCATCTTCAAATTTCAAGGACAGCCCTCAAAGTGGTGGTGGTAACTATACACCAAAACCTAGAAGCGCAAGCTCTCATATTTCAACATTAAGAGATCGCAAGAAGCCACAATCAGCTTACACTTCAACATCTACTACTTCATCACCAATGACTAGATTAGACTTGGAATTCTCCAATTATTTGAAAAATGTTGATGAAAGAATCTTGAAGAAGGGTGAACTCAACACATACATCACTTCTGTTGATGCAATTGAAAGAAAATACAGAGGTCGGTTGGTTGATTCTCCACTAGGAGGTAATAAATCCACAACATCAAGCTTATTATCACAAGTTGCTAATGGATCTGTTAGTGGATTGAGAAACATGGACCCAAGTGGTAATGGGACAGAATCGAAAGTTGTTATTAATTATGAGACAGAAGGTGATGACCATAAGAATGAAACAACAAAAACCAAATTCAGAAAGTTTTTTACGGGTGGTGGTTCCACTGAAGATGAAAAAAGGTTAAGAACTTTAGTTGCAACCTCTAATGGTCGTGCTTTGATCTTCCACAAGAATGAAAACAAAAATGATGCTTTGGAAATTAAGACAGAGATTGATTTGACTAATCCAGTCATCAAGGTTAAAGAATTATTACCACCAGCTGTAAAATCTGCAAACACAGGTGGGATGTTTGTGATCCAATCGTTCAATACTGCTTTTGTTTTTGAAAGTTCTCAAAGTGAAGTCTCTAATTGGACACAAGTTATATTCAAGTCAAGAACATTACCTGATGAAAAATATGCTCAAAAGTTGATTGATCAAGATCCTTCTGGTGATGCTGGTACTGTTTTAGGTTCAGATGCTGCTAGAAGTGCTGCTAATTTGGCCACTATCAATTCTCCTCCATTAAGTGCAGAGTCTCGTAAATCAACTGAATTGAAGTCTCCAATCATGTTAGCATCTCCAACTTTTGATGACAATACAACAAGGCAACCATTGAAACATAAGCCATCAATTACAAAAGTGGCTCAAAACACTGGCACTGGCAGTAGAAGTGGTACTATTAAACATGAAGGTATGTTCAAAGATCTTGTCAGAGCCAAAACATTACACAAGAATACAATCAAGAAAGAATTGCCAAATAATGGTCATTTACACTATGGTTTACCTATGACATCACAGACCTCACCACCAGACCAACAACAACAAGCCTCAAGAAAGTCTAGTAATGGTTCTAATTCAAGAAATCCATTAATTGCAGCTGCTGAAGCTGCCATTTCCAAACAGAAGAGCAAAAATAGTGATGATGATTCCAGAAAACAAGGAGGTAGCTCTTCTTCATCATCAAATACAACGTTAAGTCCAACTCAAAGAAGCAACACGGGACTACCACAAAAGTTCCTAGATTAATCACTGGTATGAATTCAAGATTATTAGCCAGAAGTCATGATAGAAGAAAGAAATAAGAAGGATGTTGATAAGATAGAGAGAGGTGAATCAGATTGTATTTTATTACTTTGTTTGTCGTACATGATTTAAATGTTTCATTATTTATCATCAGTTCATTTTTGTATAAGCTACGAGAAAAAAATATTTGTTATTGTGTTTTCTGTATCTTTGGAATGATGTAGCTATCTTATCTTATCTAAAGGGGTTAGGTGAAGTATCACGTGCCATGGATTAGGGCTTTAAACAATGTTCGGATGTATAGCTTAAAAACCAGTTTTCTGCCAAACATTTCCACTCTCAAATTCGTGCCACATAGTTAAGGAATATGGTAAACACCACACTAGGACTCTTCAAACTTTGGGTTTTTTCAAAAACTGAAAACATCAACTAGTTATTATCACAATACATTTTGATTGGAAATCTGTGTTAAATAACCAATACCCATAAGAAATAATATCAAAGATGGCTAAATTCATTAAATCAGGTAAAGTTGCTATTGTTGTCAGAGGTCGTTACGCTGGTAAAAAAGTCGTAATTGTCAAACCACACGATGAAGGTTCAAAAGCTCATCAATTCCCACATGCTATTGTTGCAGGTATTGAAAGATATCCATCAAAAGTTTCTAAAAGAGTAGGTGCTAAGAAATTGGCTAAAAAGACCAAAGTTAAACCATTCATTAAAGTTGTTAACTACAACCATTTATTACCAACTCGTTACACTTTAGATGTTGAAAACTTCAAAAATGAATTAACTAGTGAAACTTTCAGTGAACCATCTCAACGTGAAAATGCTAAAAAAGTTATCAAAAAAGCTTTTGAAGAAAGATACCAAGCTGGTAAAAACAAATGGTTCTTTACCAAATTGAACTTTTAAGGTGTTTGATATACAAGAAAGAATATTTGAATTTTTATTTTGGGAGTAATTTATTGAGAGTAAAAGAGGTGATCAAGAGATGAAGAGAGTCATTTAAGTTTTATTTTAATTGGTGTATGTGCATTAGTAATTTTGAAAGTAAAAAGTTTTATTTTATTATAACGTCTATGGTTTATTATCTGTTTTTTCATTTGGCGGATATTTAACAACAATAACAACAAAATTTGGGATCTTTTTGGTTTTTTAAAAGATAAGAAAAAAAGAATTAAAGATATATATGATCTAATAATTGTATATATTTATGAAAATGAGTTAAAAAGTTATATGAAGTTGTAGTTTTATTGAATCTGTCAGTATTGCACTCTTTGGGCTTTGGACCAGGGCCTGTGTAACCGTTTCCCTGCTAGGTAGCCATTCGCGAAATACCGTTTCGATGCCATATACGGCAGTCTACACCTTGAAACGGTGATCTTGCGAAATAAATTGCAGCAATGTAAAAAAGAGTGCTAAACTTAATTGAAGGGTCTCAAAGTCTATGGATGTCAGATTGTAGTGCTAGATATCGTTGAAGTGCTTTAAAGAAGTGGCAAACGACTAGTTGCATGCTTTCTAAAAGTTCCCAATGTTCCATAGAAACTTTCAAACTTCAACGTCAATAATTCGCAAGTCTGATCATGATGAATCTGGAGACTGATACACGATCTACAGGTTCGTTGAAAGGTGAAAGATGGAAATAAGTGGACAGAAGACAACACAAAAAGAAGGATCTGTTTAAATAGCAAATGCCAAATAGTCTGTCATCTAATACATGCTAGTCTCTCAGATTGGATGAATGACCTTCTGGTTTGGTTGGAATTGAACAGAATTATCGTCGATCTGGCAGCCAGGTCATATCGAAAAGACGTTAATTGGGCTTAAAGACAATCAACTGTAAGTTTTCTCCAGGGGTAATTTATCTCACACATAAACGCTGTAGAATCGTACCAAATGATATTAATCTTTGATTAGATCATATAGACAACCTTTGACAGCATTGTTGAATGATTGAATTCTACAAAAAATATGAGAACCTTGAAAGTAGAGCAGGTTGTGCTGAAATTTGTAGTCGATCTGTAATTTGATCAGCTTTAAAGCTTTCAAATTTCAACGTTTATGGCAGTTCAACGATGATCAAGATCAATCTGTTTCGAGTTAGTTTGGACGTTAATGGGAAGCTTTGCAAATAATCGAAGAAGAAATTCGTTATATTAAAGTCGTTTAAAATAGAGAGTATTTGCAATATTATTACTGTTAGAGCATAGGTTTACTCACGCATCTGAACCCCAATCAGAACAAGCGATTACGCCTGAATACTTCACTGTAACAGCTACAACAACATGCTCAAACTCCAAACTTCAAAGCGAATACTATAGGTGATCAAACAATTCTTTACAAGTATGTAAACCTGGTCCAAGATTCACGGTCATTGAAGCTTGAGCATTACAAGATTGGTACCCTCTTTCGGCTATAAGTAATTTTCACCATCCTTTGTTCATGGTTTAGCTCTAGAAAATGAACTGATGGCAAAGAATCTAATATGCATGGGTGCCAAGTTCCAACAGTGTTTAGCGTGTGGTTACGGTGAAATTGTAGTTAATTTAGCACATGAAGCTGTTTATGAATTCATAGTGCTTTCGGATAGACAGATTTGATGGATTTTAGAACCGTTGAAAGAACTTTGAGACTCAGGCATGAACTTGAGCACCAAGCACCGAATTGGAATCCAGATCTTCATCTCCATTTTGCACAACATAATTTAAATGAAAGCATAGCACAAGCTCTAAGAACAACAGATCTAAAATACTTTATCGACTTTTCCTAGTATTCACACGTACCTCAATTCTCTTGTTCGTCAGTCCATTCCATTTTCATCCAGTCGATGTGTTGCTGATCAAAAAGCCGTTTTCTGTTTCTTTTCTTTTGCCCATGATGCTTCCCCTGGGCTCTGCCGGTGGGCCTCTAGGCTGGGCCTCTAGGCTGGCGTTGGGCTGGCGCTAGACAGAAGAGGGTCTGGACTGTGGACGTTTGAGTTTAGCAGACTGACAATAATAAATTCTTAATCACCAAAATCTACTATTGTACAACAACCCTTCAACAACTTCAACAACAACAACAACAACACGTATACACAACGCTAAGCCTATAAACGCATTAAGGCAAGTGACATATTCAAAACAAGCAACACAAGTGCCGCCCTGTGCTGATTCATTCAATAACACTAGCTCAGCGCTGGATTACATTCACAAAAGAAAAGAAAAAACGGGCCTAACTTAACAACAACAAGAGCACTACAAGTTCAGTTCAAAGTCATTTCAATTCAGCTGTTAACTTCACAGAAGAGTAAAGTATTGGTTATTTGGTTTCGGTCTGTTTTCTTGTCTTGTTTTGAGTGCATTTCCACTTTATCATTATCAATAACAAAGATAGCAAAATTACACCACAAGAATGTCAATACACACAGTATCTTCTGAACAATCAGTGAAAGATACTCCTTTGGTGGCTCATATATTCAACAAGATTTCAGCTTTGTTACCTTCGGAAACTGAAAATACCATTTATGAAGTTGAAACCAATGTTTTTTTCCTAAATTCCAGAAAGGCGTTAATAAATTTATCAGTTACAAATCTTTATCAAGATATACTAAAGTATGGTATAAGCTTACTTGAGGAACAAAATAAAGCAGATAATCATTTGATTCTAAGGCAGAGAGAGTTGACTTCACTATCATCATTGTTGGTTATCCTTAGGTTATTAGCTGATTTATCAAAATTCCACTGGGACACAAAAGAACCAAATGCAAGAAAAAATTCGGTAGATTCTTCTAGTTCTATGAACTCATTGAATTCCGCAAATGGTGTTGGTATTGCAAGTGCAGGTATAGATTATCATACTGTTCAACCAGATGCTATAGATCCAGAAATTGCCAGAAAAGCTATCACTTTGATTTCAAAATTGAAATCCACAAATAACTTGGTCCATGAATTGGCCTTGATCAATGGAAAAGTTGCTGCTCCTACTGAGGAATATAGCTTACGATCTGTGATAGACCAGATTGATGTTAACTGTGAAACTCTATTGAGATTTTTAGCTGCTTCAAACCCTGATCAATTTCTGAATTTTTCAATTGCAAAATTGAATGTGTTGAAACACAACATCAACAATGAAAATGACTTTGCTCCTTATTTGGAATTATTCAGTGCTATTTACTTAAATGAAGTCTATATTTTAGAGTATTTGAAACATTTAAGAAATATTTTGACCACTATTAAGAAAGCTGTTTATCGTCAATTATTGTTAACTTTCTTCATGAAAGCTGTTAAAATATGGATTAACTCAAGACCTCAGGAGTATTTGAATTGTACAAAGGCAGACTCTAATGTATCCATGGAAGCTGATGCTTTATTTGATGAAGTTTATTCATTTTTGGATGGTTCTGTTACAAGATCATTAGGTACTGGCTCAAGTAATAACAAACAATTCAAAAGCTCTTATAGATTTCTGGCATTGTTATTAAGTTTGTACCCAAGGGCTATTGAAACGTATATTCATCACGATTCAAGATCAAAAACTACAGCTTTGAAGAAGTTGACAAACTTCAATTCAAATAAAAAGCAAAAGTTATTGTCCAATGTTACAAAAGTGCTAGAACAAAATAAAGATACAAGCAATGAAAATTCTGCTGTCTTAGAAGGTCTAGATTTTGTTGTTTGTGTGGCAAATATCGCTGCTTCAATCTATCCTTATGATCCTGAAAATGTGCTGGTTCAATATTCATTGTTGCATTATAACTCAGTTACAAGGGCTTTAGTACCAATATCTTCAAATAAGTCTTCACCATTATTACATACTGCAAGTGCATCAGAGTCTCAAATACTTGGTGAACTAAGGTTGGAATATTATTCAAGTTTGTGTGTTTTGAACTCAAGAGATTTCATACCAAGATTATTAGAAATATTGAATGACGAAAATGCTTCGCTAGAGTCACTAAAATTAACCACCTCAATTTTGAAGATGTTTTCATCAACATTACATTCTAGAGAGTCAAGTCAAAATTTGGTTAGACAGATTTTCCCATTATTGAAAAAAGTGATGATAAGAATGGGATCATTGGTGAAGAGCAGTTCATATGTACCATCTTTATATGAGGAGGAAACAGAAACTTCCAGTCTAGGTAAAACCAACTCTGGCAATTCATTAGAATTCTATTCTCAATATAGTTTCAGACCTTCAACATCTGACAATAGAAGTCTGACTGAAACAAGACAAACTTCATCAACTCCCTCATCAAATGCTTCCACTTCTACCCCCAAATCTGAAAAATTCAAAGACACAACGAAGAATTTGTTTAGAACTCATCACTTAAGCACATCACATCAACATGGATCACATGGGTCATCACATGGAAGTTTTACAACCCAAAGCTCACATCAATCTGATGATACTCAAAAATCTTCAGACTTTAGGGATCCTTCAGCTCAATTGGCAACAAGAAATGCATCTTTATCGAGAGAAATTTTGTCGAACTCTTTTGGAATCTTCAAAAAATATCCACATTTATATTTCTTGTCATCACCAGAGTTACCAAATGTTGAGAAGTATAGAGAATTACTTGAGACTTCTGAAGTAAGCTTAGAGCCTTTGGTGATTTCATTAAAAGATACAGATCCAAAGTTAATACAATCATGTACTCAATATTTATTAAGTTTCATTGCTTCAAGCTCAATCCCTGATGATTTTGATCATGTTATGTGTTCTTTTGGTGGATCCATGTACATCTTGAACGCATTGGCCAAAGGCCTAATTGCAAGTTCTGTGTCAGATCCAAAAAGAAGAGAAGTTTTGGAAATATTTGTTAAGTTCTTGGAGTACAGAGTTTCTTTGAACACATTATTGGAACATTATGAATATTTTGAAGCCGTCAAAAATCTTGAAAGTACGCTGTATTCCTACGTTGCAACTGTTGTGGAACAAGCTTTGTTGATTTGCTTATGCACGCCTTCATTTGACACTTATGGCTTGATAAAAAGAGGTTTTAGAGCTGTTGATGCAGAATTAGTCTATAACGGTGTTAAAAATAATGTTCATGAAAGAGATTTCAATAAGGAGTTTTATATTGCTGTTTCTAGTGATACCTCATTGACCACTGGTGTTGTTGCCTTACAGAAGAATATCAGAAAGTTTTTCATGAAAATTAAAACTCCAAGTGCTGCTGTGCTAAATGTCTGGTTGAGAATCTATGAAAGGTGGAATGAACTAGCTAATTCTGATTATAGTGAAATGTCACAAGCTGAATTGGCTGAGTTTAGAAATTTTGCTGGATTTTTAGCTTCAGTTTCTGGTATATTTGTCAATGCTAAAACACATGAAGGTTTCTCTGATGAACTCAAGCATGATGTTAATGAAAAAATTGATGAATTCATCCAAAGAGAGCTTGATCTTCTAGGGGAAGATAATTTAGTTACAAGAGAAAATGCCAAGGAGATATTGGCTTCTGAAGTTCATCCATTAAGTTATGGAAAAGTTGTCAAATTGTTAGTTCCTAAAGTCAAAAGTTTCGAAGCCAACGTTGAAAAATTAACACCTAGAGATTTTATTGTCATTGAACATATTGTTGTTTTGTTGAAGGCAATGCTTAACAATGGTGATAGTTTGACAATTTTTCAAGTGTCAGTTCATATCTTGAACTGTGCAAGCATAATAGCAAGAATTATTGATTCTGTTGCTAATGTTGATGTCACAGTTTTAAAACTCAGAATAAGAGTTTCCAGGTTGTTTTATGAAATTGAAAACCATAATGATGCATTGGTAATTAAAGGTGCTTATAAACTGAGAAACACTTATTTGAGACATGCCTATAATTGGTTTGATAATGCTGTTGCTTATGACTGTAATTGTTCAGACCAATCACATCATCAAGGTCATCAACATTCCCATGGAGGTAGAGATTTGGATTATATTTATATTGATATTGCAATTGAAAGTGTTAAAGCTTTATCCCTTTTACTGGATTCATTATTATTGGAAGCTCCTCAAGTTATCAACGAACGCGAGTTGAAATTCTCCAAGGCAAGTCTTTTCAGCATTTATTTCAATACATTTCTCAAGGCTTTAGAGAGATATTCAGAGTTAGAAAGTTTCCCTATTTCAGTTAGACACAAGGTTTCAACAGTTTCAGAACATATCATTGCTTGCTTGACCAATTTGTTGAAATCAAATGTGGATGTTGGGTTGTCTTATGCATTGCCAATCGGTTACCATTCAAACTTGTCAATTAGAGTTGCTTTCTTGAAAGTTTTCATCAGTATAGTGGAAAGTTATTCTGTATCTAAAAACGTTTGTCAAGAAGAAAGAACCAAGAAGTTGATGAATGACATTTTCAGACTTGTCTTCACCAAGCCAAAAGTTTTAAATTCCATTGCAAGAGCCTGTCCTGCCAATGATGCTTCTGCTTTAGCCTCCTGCTCTTTGTCACTGGCAGATTCCGTTAATCAAAGTGCCAATTTGGTATCGTTTTTGGTTAAAGAGGAAATTTTGATCGGAAATAATTATGCTGACATCTTAAGAAGAAACAGTTTTGCAAGTAAATCATTATCAGCGTTTGGCAGGGCAAAAGGGAATGAATATTTGGTTTCCACATTGAGACCGATTTTGTTGGAAATCAGGGACTCTGAATTAGACCTAGAAGTTGAAAAATTAGATGAAAGTGATGAAACTGCCTTGCAAAATTTGAATAATTTCATGCATTATTTGAAAAAATTGGTGATGGTAATTATCAAATCTATTAATGAATTTCCAATAGAATTCAGAGCTGTTTGCAAAACAATTTCACAATGTGTTCAGGATAAATTTCCAAAGTATAGAATCATCGCAGTTGGTTCATTCATATTTTTAAGGTTCTTCTGCCCAGCTATTGTCAGTCCAGAATCCGAAAGAATTGTTGATATTCCAAATCGCCAAACGCAAAGAAAATTTTTGTTGTTAGCTAAAGTCTTACAGAACATGGCTAATGGATCATTGGGATCACTAAGATGGCCATTATTAAAATCTAAAACTGATGAATTGAATGCTTTGAATGAAAAGGTCTTCAACTTCTTGGACCAATGCACTATCATTGATGATGATGTCACGTTCGATTTTGGAACCATGGAGAATTTGAATGATCAAGATTTTGGATTTTTCCACAGATTTATGTATGATAATTGGCAAATTGTGAGAACTGAAACTTTGAGAGTGACTCATGATCCTAGTGAGATTTTGATTAATTTAAGTTTGTCTAAAGATGTGAGTGAACTTTTATCAATTTTGGGTCAGCCTACAATTACATTTGGTTACGAAATTCCAGCTTCTATCAACCCTGAGACCAATAATGAGTTGTTTGAATTCATGAGCAGATATTCATTGAAAGACTTAGGAAAAATCCAAGACTCGTCATTCATCTACCAGGGTATTAGTTCAGATGGTAGTCCATTGTTGGTTTTTTCATATGTTGATTTTCTAAAGCTCGAGGAGCACAATCAAGAAATTGCTCTTTACAGAATCTTTCAGATTGCTTCTAAAATGTGGGATCAAAAGTTTTCTATCGTGGTTGACTGTACTGGTAATGATGGTACTCAAGTTTTCCCATACCGTTTGTTGGTTTTGTTGGGTAATTTAGCTCCAGAAGAAATGCGTCTCAACTGTCAAGGTGTTTATTACTACAACATTTCATCAGGTCTTTTTCCTAACTTTTTCAAGAATGCTAAAGAAGGAAGTAACTACTTCAATCAAGGTAGATTTGAGTATCATTTCCCATCTGCTAGAAATGATTACAAAACTATAACTAATTTGGGATTGCCTGAGGAGACCGTCAGATCCTATCATGATGTCAGAGCCAAATTTACAGATGCGTCATTATACCAAGTCGAGCAAAATAGGTTTGTTCCAGTTGTGGTTAAAATTGGTAGTGAATATTTGCAAATTTCACAGACTACACCTCAAAGAATAAAAGTGAAAGGTGTCTTGAAGGAAATATATTTGAACGACGTTTTCAAACTACAGCAAATCACTGCCGTTGCTGTTTCAGAGAAAACTGGTGTGCCAAATGAAATCACCATCAATTTTCAAAGTGGAAGAGAAATCATTTTGTCTTCTCCAAAATCGTTAGACATAATGAGATTACTATATTTTACAAAGAACAGAGCTACTGATTCTCCCACTGAAACTTTATTCAAGCAGGATGTTGAAAAATCTTTGGAGGATATGCTTGGTCAAATTTTCAACATTGTATTTTTGGGCTTGACATCGGCTTCTGCAGAAATTAGATCTATTTCATACAATTTGTTGGCTGTTACACAAGAAAAATTTGACTTGAAATTGGGACGCCAATTGGCACCATCACCAGATGTTTATTTCCCAAGAGACAATAACTCATTTGTTGTTTCAATATCTGAGAAGCTTGCTGAGTCCTATCCAAAAGTTACAGCTGATGTTATCGGTGGATTCTTTGAAGTTTATCGGGAGCAAGTTACTCCACGTCAAAGATTTAATGCGATTGTTTATGTGGCTCCATGGATCCCAAACATTTATGATTATGTCTTCAAATTTGATGACGAAAATGGTGCTGATTATGTTTCAGAAATCATTCGAAATTTCTTGTCCGTTTCTGCTATTGATCCAGTGTTTTTAACTGCCTTTAATGCTCAAATATGGTCCAAATTATGTCTTGAGGACAGAATCAGCTCAATTTTGGTGAATGAAATCGTTTTAACTGCAATAGATCGTGAAGCTGAAGGATCTGACTGGAAGAGCATCATTGCTTTATTGACATCAACACCTACAGTTGAGCTATGCGGTCATGTCATCAAAAGATTAAGAGATATTTCGCATATCCCATTCCCTGATGGCGATGGTAATTATTCTGTTACTTCCCATAGTACTTGGATTGAAATCACAGTTTTGGTACAAGTTTGTGTTTCCCTATTCTTTGATTCATTGATGTTTGCTGAAATGTTCTTACCTGAAATTTTCTATGTTGTTACTGTTTTGGTTGATGTCGGTCCATTAGATTTAAGAATTGCAAGTCATCAATTGTTGTTGAATGTTTTACAATCTTTCTTGACAAAGGCTTCTTTATCAGAGAAGTCTAAGAACAAGATCAGAGACTCTATTGAACACTTCACATCTCACAGATCAAGAATTTTGTTCGGTTTGAACAGAGATAGTTCAGATAACTTCCCAACTGAGATTTCAAAATTCTCCACAAGAGTTAGCACAATGGAATCTTTGATTGCATCTTTACTTGAAATTATAGATGTTGCAAGTACTGAAAATAGCAAAGTTTTGTGGATTGCCAGATGGAATAGATATGTTATTGATGCTGTTTGCAGAAAAGACTCAGTTCTACGAGGTAGAGCGTTATTATTATTGGGTGTTTTGTCAAAAGGTGGAGTTAATGACACAATGGTTTTCAAAGTACTTGAGATTGCTACTGAAATAGCCAAAGAAGATATTGCCGATGAAAAATGCCGCTTCATGGCAATTTGCTCCATTTTTTCATTGTCCAGGATCGTTCTTGGATTGTTGCCAAACTCACCTTTGTACACAAAAATATTTTGGTTAGCTATTGTTGTTACATACTCGGATCATATTGCGTTATATCAAGGCGGTCTTCAATTCATCACCATGACATTATTGTCAATGCATATTAAAGATAAGTTTGTGGGTTATGATGTGGTTTCAACAATTTTGAATGAGAAAGCACTGTTTGGTACGTTACTTGAAAGACTTGAAACGTTAAGTGATTTGGTTATCACAGAGGAATCATTTGACCAAGTTTTGCTTCATCTTGCTATCAAAGGTTTGCAATTACCATATTCCAGAGCTTCCTCACTTGAATCATTGAGAACTTTCTTCATTATTAGATACACAAACGAGATTACTCGTACCAGTTCTGATCCAAGCAAACTCTTTGATCGCGGTGCGCTTTCTTATTTGTTGTTTCTTTACATTTTGTTCAAACCTGATGATTTACGGGATGCAATGTGCAGTGCAGATATTAGTGAAATGGGGTTGCGTGAACTTGGCGATCAAGCTTTCGCTCCAAAAATGTTGATTGATTACATATTGTCAGATAGCATAAGCTCAAACCTTTCCCTTTTACAAGCAGCTATCCACTTCAACCAAGGTGATCCAAATGAAAAGTCCAAAATCAGATTCTTGTTATTATTGAAGTATGTTGGTCAAAAGAACCCAAGAGTGTTATCAAAAATTTATTTCAAAATCAGACCAACCTTGAGGCAAATAATAAGTGAAAATTCAAGTTCTGTGGCATTAATCACTGCTGTTTTTGATGTTGCTTCCATTGCAAGTATACAACCTGATTACAACCAAGATACTAAATTCAATGCTTATGCAGATCAATTGTTGATTGAAAATGAGATAACTGGCCTCAATAAATACAGATTCCCAAAATCAGACAACCGTGGCTCGGAAACTACAGATCCAAATGGGCTTAAAAGATCTCGTGGGCATTTCATTCAACCATTTGTTCAAAGAATCTGTGCCACAAGAGTTGAAACCGAATGAATTTTACCACTTTGCTTCTGCTTTTTTCATGAACACTTCCTTTTTTTTCATATTACTTTTTTCTCACAGTCTTTCCTTTCTTCTCGTTTCAACCAACAATGCACAATGTTTCCAAAGTTATGATAGTTACTGTTTTTTATGAGTTATTTTTACATCACTATCGATTTGTTATGACACAGTTCTTCTTTCCATATATGTTTTTAATTATTATTTAGAATAGAAGTCTCCGATTATATTAGATTTTAATATCATAAGATGTAGTCTACGTATTAAAAAATTTCAAAACATTCAATTTCTATTCCTTATGCTTATTATTGAATCTTTGCGTTAGCTTTTCAAATTCTTTTTTATGCAATTTATACAACATCATGGTAGCCCTAGCATCTTCAACCGATGAATGTTCAGCACCTTGAATATCAATTTTCAACAGCTCTTTTGTCAACTTTTTCAACGCTGGTGTTTTTCCTTGAGCAAGCTTTTTGAAAGGTGGATGTCTGGAAGTATCTCTGATCATAGATTTTGGGTGGGATAGCATCAAGGAGTCAAGATCATGTTGAATTGCATGTCCTACTAAAATTTTTCCATCAAACAACTTAGCAACCTCATTCTGTGCAGTTTTGAAATCAATTGCAGTCTTCATATGCTCAGGTTTCACACCACTAACCCAGGTTCTCCAATCAGTAACACGTTCTGTAGGTTTGACAAATTTGTCATAAATGGTATACCCATAAAAATTAACTATGGAAACTCTTGCAAGAACACTTTCTGTACCTTGAGGCCCTACACCAACAAATTCACAATCTATAGCTAAGTATTTTCCTGGTTGTTTTTTTTGTTCTGATAAGTTTGAAGGTGTTAATGAATTCTGTTTGTATTCTGAAGATATGTCATAAACTTTGGAAAGGTCATCTAGTGGAATATCATTATCATCTGCCCACTGTGTAAGTTCTTTGGAATCTTTTGACTTTGAGTCCTTTTTATCCAAATTATTCGTTATTTTGTCAATGATTGATTGTGTTGCATTTTTAGAGCTTTTAGCTTTCTTTACAGCTTTAGATGTGATGGAAGGCTTCTTTGTTTTCTTTTTGAGCGTGAGCCAGTTAGATGATAGCTTGGAGTCTGAGAAAGCCATAGTAAAGTAATAGTCAAGAGAGCGAACGATGTCTAACTTGTGTAATGATTCTCTAGAAGTTTGTACTAATAGATTCAGCTCATCGTGTATGAATTTTTTTTTACTTGGTTGAGCCACGTAAAAAGTCTTCGGAAACCAGATACAAATGACAGATGGCACAAAATACACTTGCAATAAACGTAACATCGTAAAATTTAGTCATAAAGCGGAGTTATTATATACCTTGTAAGCCTCCATCAATTTATGTAGCCTATTGATGATCTCAGCAGCCTCAGAAGGGTTCAAGGCCTCAAAATCATATCTTTTGGGGCCATTACTCTTCAGAACAACAATCTTGAAGTTTGAAGGGATTCTCTTGGAGACTTTACAGGAAACTATTTGACTCACATGGAAGGTTCTTGTTTTGAAATTAGTGTCATACCATATCTTCCCATCTTTAGGCAGGATATAAACGTATTCACCATCAATTGCAAATGATCTTTCATGACGATTAATAAATGACATTGGCAACCTTCTCCAGACAGTGTATTTTCTATAATCTGCAGTAACAGCATTGGGAAGCATTGAATCTTCTGGAGTTCTTAATGAACCTCTAGAGTTATTCATATTTTTGAAAGAAGATGAAATACCATGTTTAGAAAAAGAAGATGAAAACTGCTTTGAAGAGAATGAGTGACGTCTTTGAACTGCTGGCTTACCCAGAGATTGAGGTTGAGGTTTATCCGATTCATTAGGCAATTCATTCGCCACCATTAAACTTTGTGGAGTTAAATTGGAGTTGATTGTAGGTAATGTGCTGTTATCCAATATCTTTTTCTTCTTGAGTTGTAATTCTCTAGTTTTTCTTTTTGTCAATATTTCAAGTTTATAACTTCCATCCAAAGAGCTGACAGAATCATTCAAATCCAAAACGTAATCCTCCCCAGAAACCTTCAACTGGTAACCATTTGGATCCAACCCTTTCATTTTAGTGTATTTCAATAATATCTCATTTAATTTAGCAGTTAATGGGAACTCCAACGCTGTGAATGAAGAGTCTTCATTTGCGGGATATTTATAGATCTCAACTTTAACAGTAGCAGCGTCTTTAATGTTATTATCAATCTTTGGAATAATTGATGTGAAATAATTGGTTTGCTTAATGGCATTGGACTTTGATGGAGAAGGAGTACCAGATCCACCCAATTCCGCTTCTGAAACCGGTAATGGTGTTTTTATCTCATTAGACTGAAATTCAACATCACTGACCTCTATCAATGCAACTTCATCCTCACCATACGAAGAAACAACTTTTGTTCTATCCATCAACCCAAATGAACCTTCATAGGGCTCCCCATCATCATCGATCAATTTGAGACACCATTTGTTTGGATTCCTGAGAGCCTTGTTCTTTTTCAGCATCTTTGGGAATTGTTTCGTTACATTGAATAAAATGAAACCAATTGCTTCAAACACTGTAACAGTTTTCCTAATTTTAAGTTTCAAGGTGTTATCTTGTGGCAAATAAACCGTCATATTGATAACATCAAACCTGTTAGATATGTTCTCTCCAGATACAAACAGGAAGTATTCCAAGGGATCGGAGTTTTCTGCCTTGTACTTTTTATAAATCATTTCACTTAATTGTGATTTTAACTTTGGCTCCGATGGAACTGTGACTTTCTCAAACAAAGGCCCTATAGAGTTTTCTGAAGTTGATCTTTGCATATCTGGGATATTCGGGTTTGAATGAACATGTCTTAAATCATTTGAGCTTGTATCTTGGTTTCTGACACTTAAAGATGAGGATCTTTTTTGTCTTAGTTTTGGTCTAGCTTGTTTTTCAAATGAGAGCTTCCTATTTGATCTGGATGGAGTTGCTGATGAAGAAGGTGTCTTGCTTTGCATCATATGTAACCTAGCACTAAGTAATGCATTGTCTATAATATCATCTTCATCTTCATCTGAAAAATCTGAATCCAATAATAATTGATCATCAACCGAAGAAATAGAATTGTCTCCATAAAGGTACTTGCTATCATTGAATTCATCCATTTGGGAAGCTGTATTGAGGTCTGAATAGTTTTGATCAACCAAGATGCCGCTTTCATCTTGTCTTTGGCTCGCAGTGTTGTCTTCCATAGCTTCCAAATCGACCAAGTCACTCTCTGTATTTGCTTGTGAGGCAGTTGTTGTTTGATCATCAAAATTGGAGTCTTCGTCATCATCATCTTCATCATCGTCATCACTCTCGTTGTCCTCTTCATCGAAATTATCGTAAGTTTCATTATCACCGTCATCAGCTTGGTTCCTGTCACTTGGTGGTTTCTTCCTTTCCTTTTTAGACTTCATTGAGCTTTGAGCAGAAGAGTTACTACTGCTTGTATTTCTGAACAATTTTGTGAATGGTGGCTTATAGCTAATCTTTGTGTTTGCAAATGAAGGAAGCTTCTTCCCAATATGTGATGTTTCCGAGGTTTGAGGAGTTAAAGTTCCTGGATCTTGAGCAGGTACAGTATCCTGAGATTGATTGAACTTCAAAGTTGCCAATGATGCTTTTGAATCAGGTTTATGTGATTCCAAGGTTTGTTTCTTTAAAGTGTTGTGATCAAATGGTTCTTGTTCTTCTTCATCCGTTTCATCTATTCTATCCGCCAGACTCTCTTTCGACATATGTAGTCTCCTCATCAAATCAGTATTTTCAAGGACATTTATGGGTATGGGAGGAGACTCTGTTCTAGTTAGGATCTCATTGAACTCTTGACTCAACTGCTGTTCTGGATAATCTGGATAATCTGTTTCATTTGTTGTGTAGGGCCGTATTATTCTTCTGCTTTGGTCATCATCAGCTATTTTGAGATACTCTGCCCGTATATAGTTAATCAAGAATTTCTCATCTTGCACCAACGCCATATCGAAACCACCTTTCTGAACTTGTATTTCAATTAAATGTTGGTTTCTAGATTTCAATTGTGTTTTGTTTTCATTTATGAGCTATCACTGACTAAGCATATGATAATCAAATCACGTGAAGATTAATCTAGAGTTCAAAAATTCCTCCATTCCACTAAAACTGCTCCAATTCTGATGGTTGAAAAGAAGCCTACCATAAAGCAGTTGCATAATACCTGAATAAATAGGTTCATGACTCCATTTTTCTTCTTTTGCCTCTCCTAATTTGAATTTTCTTCAACCAATTGAAATGGCCCAGTTAACCCGGATTTTGACGACCTCGAGGAAAAAAACTGAAAAATGAATCAAAGGGAGAATAAACACCATTATTTGAACTGGATTTACACAGAACCGTTACTAAATATTCAATCAATTCGAAATGGGTTCAGCTTACGTTATTTTCGGTAAAACCGTCCCAGCTCACTACGTATGTGTTGTATAGTTTCACGTGTGGTTTGAAAGTTCTTCATTATGACAAGACAGTCTTTCAAATTCAAGAATATCAAATATTGGAACTAAATACTAACGGTGTTTCCAGATTTCTATTGCTACATTAAGTGCTGCTCTTTTGGTTGCTTTACCAAACCCATTTGCTGCTGCTCAAACTACCCCAAAGATCAACGCTTCATCTCCAGAAGAAGAAAAATTCATTAAGTAAGTAATGGACATGTTTGATTTAATGGTACGGGATACTAACAATTTCAATTAGTGATTATTTGAAGAAAGCTGAAGAATCTGAAAAAAAAGAACAACATTAGATGTCATAATATATTAATCTTATACATATACGATAATTCAAAAAGAGATAAAAAAAGTTTAAAAGATATAGAATTTTAACGGAAAGTGTAGTTTCCCCTGTTTTCAAAAACTAATGTACATTTCTCTATTATTAATTTGACTATATATTCAACATGTTATACCAAGGATTCTTTAATTATCTTTGAATAACGCATCGTTAGATAGTGGATCAACAGCTAAAACATTATCTCTCTTCTTGACTTTCAAAGCTTCACCAGCATCATGTCTAGCTCTTGCTTCTTCAGCTTGTTTTTGTTTTATTTGAGCTCTGACAAAGTTTGGACTAACGTATTGTTTGTTTTCATAAATCTTTGGACCACCAAATGAGCCTTCTAATATTAAGATTGGAGTTAAGACGAATCTTGGACCAATTTCAACTAATGAAACATCTTGCTCATCTCTATTTTTATCATCTTCAGCTTGTTCTAAAATTTGGTAGTTTCTTACCCATATTTTACCATCAACAATAGAGAATGACATAACATGGTCAACAAATGGTTTAATTTTTCTTGAACCTGGTGGAACACCAAATGAATGTGTGAATAGTTCCTTCATCAATTTATAGTGGGATGATTCATCAAATGAAGCATCAAATGATAGAACAGGTCTAGAACCTTTCAAACAGTTACCAGTGAAGTTTAATTCTTCAGTATTATGAATGTTTTGAACAAAGAATTTGATAGTTGGTCCATTTGGAGGTTTGGATAACCACAAGTATAAATCTTGATGTTTTCTGGCTTCAAAATATAAGATATTGTTACAGTTGTATAGTTCTGCAATTTCATTCAACTGTGTTAGTTGTTTTTTACCATCTAATTTTGGCTCTTTTCTAGCATGTGGTAATAAAGAGTATAAATCATTAATCAAGTAACGGTGTCTAAATGTGATACCTCTTGAAGAGATCAAAAGCACTCTCTGTCTGTTGATGTGTGACTTCTTTTCGGTCTCAGCCTTTGTGGATCTTCCTGATAGCACTTTGTATATAGCAGACATTCTTTGTTCTCAACTTGTTCACTCGTTGTTATCTGTCTAATGCTTCTATAAAATTTGTGCCTATATAAATTTTTTTTTCAAGCTCATCTCGTATTCGCGAATTTTTACTTTTCGCGAACTTTACCCGCAATTTCACTATTGTCCAAAAAATTGGAGGCATATAACCTGCCAGAACTGTTTCGAGAGTTTAGAGGAGGTTGATTACAGCAATTGGCTTTTGAGATTTGATAATGTCCAGCAAGGAGGATGAGATCTTGAGGGCTGTTGAAAATGGTACTTTCAAATATGCTCAACAATTGTGTTCGAAGCTATTGAAGAAAAACCCAAATGTTGCATATTACAAGGTATTAAATAGTTACATTCTTTTACACTCTGGTAAGGAGAAAGAAGCTGTTGATTCCGCATTGTCAATCATGGAAGACGTTCCAAGTGATATCAAGTCACTAGAGTTACTGAACGAGATTTTCAATGAGGTGGGATTAACCAGTGAAGCTGTGTTGGTATATGAAAATGCAGCTAAAAAGCATAAAACTTTTGACATTTTGCGTACTTGGTTTCATTTTGGTTGTGAACATGCCAATGTTCGTATTATACAAAAAGCTGCTATGGCAATGAAAAATAGCAGTAGATTATTCAAATTATGGGCCGCTTTTGCTTCATACATGGTTGCAAACTTGAAAGATGCATCACCTGTTGAGAAATCCTTATTTCCAAAACTTGGTTTGAAGACTATTGAACAATGTGAGCCTCTGAAGAATGAACAAGAAGTTTTCATTCTTGTTAAACTTCTTGAGCAAAATAAATCTTTAGATAAGATTCCTGAAGCTGTTTTGAAATTTTCAAAACAAAATAAGTTGGATTTAGAATTACAAATTATTTTATTGAAAACATTTGATCAATTGGAAGATTGGGAAAAGTTGTATAAATGGAGTCATACAGTTTTGATTGATTATAAACTTGATGATTTCAACACTTGGAAATATTTAATCAAATCATCAATCAAGTTGAATAAAGATATAAATGACATTATTGAAAGCTATAATTCAAGAAACTCTAAATTGGCCAAAATTGAGCTACAAAGTGAGCTAGGTTATGATGTTCATGAAGCAGTCTTTGAATATATGAAATCACTTGGCCATAAAGCTTGTGCATTCCCAGACATTAAGAATTACGCTGAGAAAATTGATCAAGTTAAATTCCTTGAATGGCTCAATGGACACAAGAAATCAATTGATGATGATAGAGGCTTGATCTGGAATGTCAATGTCGTCAAATTTAAAGCACTTTTCAATAGAGATTTGTTCAAATCAGAAGAGTTCATCAATGAAAATATCCAACTTTGGAACAAATCAAAACATTTGCTTTCCAAAAAATCCAAGACTGATTATTTCAATGGAGATGAATTTATCTTATTCATTGTTCAATCTCTATTATCTATTGATTTCTCAGTAGCCAATATTGTTTTATCAATCATCATTTTAGAAAATACCGTCATTAAAGATGACCATGAATTCCATTTGAGATTGTGGTTAATCCAACTGTACTCTATTATTAACTGTCATACACAAGCAAAACACCATTATGATGCATTGAAGATCAAAAACGTTCAACATGATATCTTGGATCATTATATCATCTCAAGATTGAGCACACAATTTCCTAATGCTGATGAGTTGAAAAAATCATTTTCCATCTATCGTGCTAATGAAAATGAGACCGTCTATTACGTGAAAATCGGTTTCAATAATGGTGCTTTCAACAAATTGGAGAGTATGATTGAGTTCCAACAAAGATTGAATGATTCAATCTTGAAAAAACACGAGGTTATACAAGGTATAAAGATTGGTAGAATTTTGAATGATAAAGACATATACAACAAATACAGAAAAGTTAGAATCAACGAGAAAGTTAGTGATAATAGAGATTTCAACATCTTATGGAATGTTGGTATTGATGAAGAACTTGAATTTAAAGACCAGCTATTAGAAAACATTCCAGGAAAAAGTTATATCAAACTAAATGAAGTTCAAGAACGTCTAGTAAATGGTCAAGATGTTCCTTTAGCAGATCCATTATCATTTAAAGGCGTAACAGATGCTGAAAAATGGTCTTTTGAGGTGTTGCAAAATCTTTCAATCTTTATCAACACAAAAGATGCTGACTTACTATCAAAAGTCAAAGAATTATATGCACAAGTTCCTAAACCACCAAAAACATTATCATGGAAAGTCAACAATTCTTTAGTGTCAATTATTGACACTGCAAAGTCTGCACAGGTGCTATTATCATCAACTCAAAAAGTTAACAAAAAAGATCATTCAGAGCTCAAAGAATTAAACTTATCCCTGTTACAAAAGATTAGAGATGACACTATTTTGGATAAGAAAGTTCAAATAACAGATGCTATCAACAATTTGAAATCTGAGCTCAGTGATAATGAATACTTGAAAAAACTAAATATTAACAATGCTTCAAAGGATAAGATTCTAGAAATAATCGGGTACTCCAATAATGAAGCTTTCAAATTATTGAGGATCTTATGATTGAGAATCTTCTGAATAATCAATTTGGTGCACTATTATACGTCTTTTTTTTTCATTCGGAACCAGTTATAAAATGTTACTGGTCATATTCACCATTTCCATTTTGAACCCTGAGTGGCAAATGATGATAAGATGATTTGAATGAGGCAAACTGAGATTCTTGTACACCTTCTGTATATACATGAGAATAGAAACAAGTTGATCAAAACAAAAAGCACACCATGTTAGGAATTCGTAGTTATTACAGAGTCCAAGATTCAACACCACAAACAATCAAAGAAGATCCAGAGCTAGATGAAGATCTAGAAGATATAGAGATATGCGATGAGAATGAATTCAACAATGTGATGATATTACAAGACTCAAAATCACAAGAGAAGTTGAGAATGCTACATAGACTGATTGTCAAAAGAGATGGTCTGAAAATTAGATTACCTCAACATTGGGAGATGGATCTGATCTTCACTGAGATTTTAACAAAGGAAAACTTTGGTCATTATGGGGATGCTGAGTATGAAATCATGTTGCCTTTTGAAATATTTATGATTGAGAACATCCATTATAAAGGTCTTGTTAAATTCAAGAATATCCTGAACCTGCCAAATAAGATCAGAGGAATGTCGTTAACAAACAAAAATGGCTTGAAGAAAACTACACAACTGATATCAACAACTATAGCCTCATATGTCACATGGCTTATTGATCTTTCTTTTAACACTCATGAAGAGAAAAGAGCTTATATGAAGTTGTTTAAATCTGAATATTTGGTGGTTACAAAATCCGAAACTTGTTCAAAGTCAAGAAATGGAACCATGAATGCTATTAGTGACAAAATTTTGAGCCAAAGTGAAAACCATTTAATTTATCATATTGATATAATTAACTCAACTGTTACTTTCTCAGTTATTGATGAGAAAAGGCTGTTCAAGTTGATTAAATTCAATCTGAAGAGAGATTTTCAAAGAGTTCAAAAATTTCAAAACCAAATTGATATTGAGTTCGCTTTGAAACTCACCATGTTGATTGAAATGGCCAGAAAAGAAATGATTGAGCAATTATAAATAGTAAAGGGAATCCTATCCACTCACTTCCAGCTTTATTTATACCCAATTGATACCCTAAAATTTCCAAAAATTCTTGTAGTGGTCCTCAAAAAATGGCGAGATTCGAACTGGCGCCCCTACGCGACGTGGCTGAATCTATTTTTAAGTTCTAGATTTTTTTTTATGCAGGACCAATTTTGAAGGGATTCGAGTTACATACTAGATTCAAACATTCAAACAATCCTACACGAGAATTTGATATCAGCATTCATTCCAGATCACGTTGGGCTGTCTATCTCATATTTATACCCAGAAATACCCTCAACATTATAACGAAGAGTTAAGCTTTGATAGAAACACCGGTCTTATAACCAAAACAGATCAGATCGAATCTTACACTCAAGAAACTGAAAGCAAAAAGACAAAAAAAAAGTTTATAACAAACATGGGGCTAACGCGTTCGTTGAATATACCTACTGAGATAATCAAGAGGAACGAAGCTTCGTCGGCCTCACCAACAGCAACAGATGCAAATGGGTGTGTTGTTTGTTCTTCAGATCCAGTGTGCCCCAAATGTGAAGATGGTGAAGACTGTCTGTTAACAATTCAGACGTGTCAACAGTGCCCCAAGACCTATTGTAAGGCAGTTGGTGGTAGATCTCACTCTTCAGGACCTTCAGCACAAACTGTCGGCGGGCTAGCAGGTGGTATAACAGGTGGATTACTGCTGTTGATAGGGATTGGTTCATACATTTTCTACAAATATTATGTCAAGAAGAAGCTAGTATTCAACAGAGTCAACCATAAGGAATTTTACTTTGACGATGATGTTGAAGTGAATTTCCGTCATAATCATCCAGGAAATGATGGTCAACAACCACCAAATCAAGGTTCATCAAGAAACAGTTTGGCGACAACAATGTTCACAAGAGCCTCGAATATCATTCCTATTGCCTATATCCCAGGTGTCACCATTGGCCCAAATACAGATTCCGGGAACAGTAGAGCATCTCAATATTCAGAAACCAATACTATTGATTCAGAGCTGATAGGTGATAGATTTAGTAAAGCCTCTATCATAGGGAACCCATCATTGACCACAACAGCTATACGGGCGAAACCAAAACTAGTTAACATACATGATGCAAATCATGGTAACAAGAATCTACCTGATGCTAACAGAGATGCTGTACCAAGCACAGCAGTAAGTGCTTCCCAGTTAGGAGGTGTCAAATCTATCAAAGTTAGTGACAAGAAAAAGTATAATCCAGGATTACAGACAGAAATTCTTGAGGAAGAAAGTGACAATGAGTCAGTTATGCCTGTTGATTCGAAGAATGTTGATTATGAACCTTTCATAATTGAAGAAGAAGAAGAAGGGGAAGATGAAGATACTTCAGCTGAAAATATGACAACGGAGAGAAAAAGTACAAGAAGGGACTCCAATGATTCCGCTGGAAGCGTAATTCTAGAAGTTGAGGTTGACAGGAACCCGATGAGCCCTTTTGATGATAAGTTTACTCTGGATGATGGTAAATAAATGAGGTTCTTGAATAGTTTCATTGTAAAGATTTGGTCATCGCACGCACATTTTGAATTTTCTCGAAGGAATAAACTAGAAAAAAAAATCGAATATCTAAATTTACGAAAGCTGACACTTTTAACTAACCGCTTAAAGCTGGTCTTTTCCTTCATTTCTTTCCATTCTTTCATTTTAAACTCAAGATACTTAGCTGAAAATGGTGGTCAACAATCCAAACAACTGGCACTGGGTGAACAAAAACTGTCTTCCATGGTCCAAAGACTATTTCGAAGAAAATCTCCAAGATCTCGAATTAGACAACGAAGAATATCTCATCACTATTACAAGCACTGCTGTTTCTGGGGACTGTGACGTTACACAACGTAAAGGGAAAGTGTTATGTATTTACGATATGGTTTTGACTTTTGATATTGAAGGGAAAGACAAAGCAAAAGAATCTGAATTTAAAGGGACCATAAAGATCCCAGAGTTCATTCACGATGAAACAGATTATGATTATCAATTGTCCAACTTTGGAGATCATAAAGCTCACGTTAGAAAAACTTTTGTGCCTTTGATTCACGCAAAATTGTTGAAGTTCCAAAGTGATTTGATTGATTCACATTCAAAAGATGTTCAAGAGTAGAAGACATATTAAAGTCCGAGTTTTATTTGGTTATTAAAGTCTTAAAACTTAGCCTACGTATATAGAGATGCATTGATTTTTTTTAATAATAGCATTATGGTCATTAGCATTAAATTATAATCTGTCTATTCATCAAATCCTTCAGGAACACCTTTAGCGTGAACTGTGTTTTCTCTATTACAAACATATGATCCTCCTCCTGGGAATTCAACCCATGCCCAAACACCATTTTGTATATCTTTGATAACCTTGTAAGATTCCACACTATTGTACGGTAAACCAGTTTTCGGGTCAAAATACATAGCCGGCTTACCAGTGAGAAGACATTGTTTCTTAGACCCATTTGGTAAATGAACACCTGTTGGTGGTTGTGTCTTGAGTACCACCTTAATATCCTGTCTAGTTTCAAGTACAACTTGTTCTTTTTTAACTTTGTTGAACTCACCAAATTTAGGAAAATTATTCAAAAATTCAAAACTTGGTAAATCTTGAACGCCACCAATTTTATCATCCTCAGAAATTGCATCAGCTCTCAGCCTCAATATAGGTTCAACGTCTTGGGTTCTTCTTTGTGCAGGTAATAAAGATTGTGGACCAAACAAATAAGCTTTAATTTCATCAACTGTGTAATGTTTTGTAGACTCTTCAAACGATATGAAATTAGCTGCAACTTTTTGTGGGGGACCTTCAAACATTATAGGTTCCTCAGATGCAACTGATGGTTCTCTTGATGATACCTCCTGTGTGGTTTCTCTAGATACAGCATGATCATCAATTTTGACAGGGGTTTTAGGACCTTCTTCATCTGCAAATTTAACAGTTTTGGAAGCTTTTTCATCTTGCTGCTCATTTTTCACTTCAAGGTCAGTAGAATCAACATCCATTTTATCAACTGCGGTAGTATCTTCAGCTTCTTTATCATTTGAATCACTTTGATCTTTGATCTCCGTTGTAGCATCTTGCTCGGTAGATGCTTCAGGTTTTAAGCCTTCTGAGTCTTTTTCAACACTCTCAGGCTCTGTAGCGTTAGCTCCTTTGGAGTCTTCACTTGATTTGGCATCCTCTTCATCTTCTTTCTCTTTGGTTTCTTCATTTGCACCTTCTTTCTCTGAAACAGCGTCAGTTGTTTTTGCCTCAGTAGATTTTGGTTCAATTAGTAATATCTCATCATCAGCTTCAGCATCAATATTGTCTACCTTAGCTCTCTTAAAATCATGTTCTTCAACCGCAGCAGAATCAGAAGACAATGGTCTCTTCTTCTTTTCATCATTATTTAACTGAGTCTCAGCCCCCGTCCCTGAATCATTTTGAGGAGGTTCTATTGTAGTTTCTCTTGACTCAGGCGGAACGCTACTGTCTGGTAGCTCTAAGGGATCCATTTCAACTTTCGGTTTCAATTCTGTACCAGCATCATGTAATTGTTTTATATCCATACCTTCATCCTGTAGCTTTTTCAGCAACTCTGGGCTATGTGCAGGGGATTTTGGTTGTATTATGAACATAGCAGCTCTTTTTTTCCTTGCCTCATCTTTCTTTCTAGCCTCTTCCTCCTCTTTCTTCTGCTTCTCACTTTTTCTTCCACGTCTATCTCTTTTTCTTCTTATTGTATCTCTTGTCATTAAGAAATGCTCCAATTCATGCTCTTCAACTGGAGTGACAAATATGGGACATGTTTTGTAGCTGACAACATTCTCTAGTCTCTTACGCTTACTCAATTGCAAAGCACGTTGTTTTTTCTTCTTATCCACTTCTTGTTCTTTGTACTTGTTCAAGGTGGAGATGTTGTATTTCTCAGTTTCAATAGCTTCGGCCAATCTTTCTTCTTGCGTTAGTTCAACATATTCAACTCTTGCCACAGGTTTTACGCTTTGACGACGAGCCTCATTCTCTTTCAATCTAGAAACCAAATCCATCTTGTTTTGGACTGCTGTTTTTCTGGATGATTGACGACGACTTAGCGATAGTAATGTTTCGGCTTTTGGTTCCACATGTTGTATTTTCTTTTTTGGAGCTGTTGCTTTTGGTTTCGATATAATTTTGGGTATTTGTCTAGCCTTTTTTTGTGCTTGACGCTTCTTCACACGCTCTTGCTTCTGTAGTTCCTTCTCACCAGCATCTGAATCATCTTCATCTGAATCATCATCTTCTGAATCACTAAACATATCATCATTGTCAACTTGTGGGCTTTCTTCATCATTTTCAGAGTCAGTACCATTTTCTCTGGTACTAGTGGTTCCCTCACGTTGACTTTCTTCATCCGATGCCTCTCGTTGTTCATTCTCTGAGTCTTCTTGCTCATCTTCATCAGATCCTTGGTATCCATATCTGTCTTTATCACCAACGTTGAACTCAGCATCGTCATCATCTTCTTGGAACAATAAATCAATATCATTATCGTCTTCATCGCCTTCATTTGCAACTTCCTCAGCCTTTAGCAATTGCTTTAAGCGAGAACCAGCATTTGATCTCCTCTTTCTGGTGGCAATTAAACTTTCGTCATCGGCCATCTTGAAACGAATAATGGTCTTGATCGAAGTTTGTTGATGTTGTTGATGTTGTTAATTTGAATTTGGACTTTGATTTTTCAAGAAATCCGTGTTTTTTTGCAATTGTTAAAGACACTCCATCACCAACTTTTTTTTGCCCAAAATCCTTTCTCGTATAGAAGAATTAATTCAATTGCTTTCAAATTGAAACTTATTAGTGAAGATGTCTTCTGTCAAAAGGGTAGGGAGGCTCTCTCCTTTGAGAGTACTGAGTGGCTCAATCAGATCAATTCACAGCTCCTCTGCCAGATTACACATTGCAGCAGATGCCAAAAAAACTTCAACTTCACAAGATGAGATGGATCATTTCAACCAGCTCGCATCAACCTGGTGGGATGTTGACGGGCCCCAAAGAATACTACACAAAATGAATTTGCTAAGAATGGATTTTATTCAAGAGACTATCCGTAATAGCTTGAAATTGAATGAAGATGTGACCAATCCTGACGAAGAAATTTATATCCCTGGTTATAGCTTAGACTTGCTACCGAAACCAATCGCTGATCAAATTGTTCAAGAACAAGAATTCAAAAGGGACTTATTGATAAGCCAAAGCACCAAATTGAAAGCGTTGGATATCGGCTGTGGTGGTGGTATTTTATCAGAATCTTTGGCCAGACTAAAAAGAATTGAATCAGTGAAAGGTATTGACTTATCTACAGATGTTTTAGAAGCAGCTAAACTTCATCAGAAACTGGATCCTATAGTTTCCAAGAAGATACATTATGAATTATCAGCAATTGAAGATATTCCAGCTGAAGAACAATATGATATTGTCACGATGTTTGAAGTTTTGGAGCATGTAAATTTACCAAATGAAGTTCTTGCAAGCGCATTAAAACACGTCAAACCTAATGGTTGGTTATTCATTTCCACTATAAATAGAGATTTCATTTCCTGGTTCACAACCATATTTATGGGGGAACATGTTTTGAAAATCGTTCCTGTTGGAACTCATCATCTAGATAAGTACATCAACGAGACAGAATTACAAGATTGGTTTAAAGGAAACCCTGACTTTAAAGTTGTTAGCAGTAAAGGTTGCATATATTTACCATTCAATGGTTGGTCATTCACGTCATCTCCTAATGTTGGTAATTTTTTCATGGCAATTCAAAGAACAAAGTAATGTTAAAAGAAATTCTTCTGTATATATTAATACAAAAAAAGTGGTTATGATGCAACTTCCTCTTTTGCCTTTGAATCATCAACTGGCTCATCGATAAACTGTGGAACATTACTATCTTGTTGCAAATAACTTGGAACGCCAGTGGCTTCACTCATTTCGTTTTCGTAATCAATCTCATCACCAAGTGCCTCTAACTCAGCATCCAATTCACTTTCACTTATCTCATCAGGGACATCGTAGCTCTGTGCCAAAGCGTCTTGTAGATCATTAGATTTTTCAATCAAATCAAGCATTTCATCTTGAAGATCTTCAATCTTATCCACGTCGATTTTACCATATGTCTTTTTTAACTGTTTATTGGTTTGTTTCATAGCATCCACGGTAACCATAGTGTTTTTCAGGTTATCTGTAGTCATTTGAGCTTGACTCATGTTCCAACTTTGTGATTCCAATTGATCCTTCTGTGCTTCAATCTGTCTTCTTTGTTTCAACAAGTTGAGCGCTCTTTGTTTGATAGAATTTTTACCAGGACCATCTCTCATTCGACTCATCTTTTGTTGATATGCTGAAAGTTCTGCATTTATTTTAGAAAGCTTAATATCTAAAGAAGAGACACGTTCTTCAATCTGGGGAGTAGTTAATATCAAACCCTTTTTTAAACGTCTCATGTCAACTTACGTTACCAATGGCATCATTGAGGGTAGGTTTAGGGACGTTATTCTTTGAGCCAAATAGTCTATTCATTACGAGAACAACACTTATAGCAAACTAAATCCTCTTTTTCTAATATTCAAAAGACTATACAAATTATAAAAAAACATGTGGAAACTGCCACCAGCTTCTCTTTTCAAAAGAGTAAATTGATAAAAAAAAATGGTACTGGCCACTACTTCACCAAAAAATTCGCGAATTCAACCCTTAAAAAAATTTGACACCATGAATTTTTGTTGAACGTTCAATCAAATCAATACTAACCTTGTCTTTTGGTTGAATGGACGACAAGTCGTTGATATACTTCAATAACCCACTGTCTTGATCATAAGGAGATGCTGCGAATGGTTCTTTCTTGAGGAAAGCATCTTTTTCTCCGGCACCGTTGAAAGCAATTCTGTTTGGTGTGTTTCTATATTTCCAGTTGCTTAGTTTACTCATGTTGATGATACCTTCGGTGGATAAAGAAATCACTTTATCGGTCATTTGTTCAGGCTTGATACCCTTTTCCAATAATGTGGCAACCAATCCAGCAACCACAGGTGATGCCATTGAGGTACCAGACATTAAAACTGGTTTATCATAATTTTTTATATCCAAACTTTCAACTTCAACACCACTAGCAAAAACATGGACTCTATCACCATAATTGGAAAAGACAGCAATTGTATCAGTTCTATCATCTAATGCACCAACTGTTAATGAGTGTTCAGCACTGGCTGGACTAAACATAGATGCTCTTGCATTGGAATTACCAGCAGCTGAAACAATAACAAGACCAGTCTCAAAAGCTGCATTAACAGCATCATTTAAAATACCACTGAAGAAAGCACCTAATGACATATTAGCGACAGCTTTAACCTTTCTTTTTTGACGGTCATTAACAGCCCATTGAATACCCTCCAATATAGATGTTAAATCACCACTTCCTTGTTGATTGATAACTTTAACTTCAACCAATTCAACATCTTTGGCAACACCATATGTTTTTGAGCCAATGATACCAGAAACATGGGTACCGTGTCCATTCAAGTCACCATCTGATTCATTAACAAAACTAGCACCTTTGATGGCTCTTCCTTCAAACTCCGGATGTTTGATATCAATACCAGTATCAATAACATATGCAACAATATCTTTTCCAGTGGTGTCATATTTATATTTGAATGGTGTTTTCAATTCATACAAACCTTTACGAGATGATAATCTTGCTAAATGTCTTGGAGCATTTTTTTGAATTTGAAGACCATCAGTAACATCATCTTCACCTTCATCTTGATCTTTATCCTCTGGTGTCTTTGGCTGCTTGTCTTCTTTGGTTTGGTTTCCAATTAAAGTGGTTGTTGTTGGGTCAAATAAACTGAATTGAAGGTTTGGCAAAATATCATGAATCAATGGATTATTTTTCATTCTTTCCACTGCATCATTACTAAAATCACCAACAAAAGCTTCAAAAGTTTTTCCAATTTTGATTGTCTTATAAACTTGACTTCTCAAGTGGCTAGCAATACTCAAACGATCATCTTGTTCCAACACTTGTGCAACAGTAGCAGAATCTTTCAACTGGACAACAAATGAATTTGCAATGACAGTTTGGGCAACGTATAATAATGTGATAGATGAAAAACGCATAACTTTGAAGATAGAATATCTAAAAGGAGCTCTATATGAGGTTTAGGAAAACACATTTGAGAACTCAGGATGAATTCTTGACGGCTTTTGGAAGATTTAGGTGTTAATTGATTTTTGTGTCAAGTATACTGTTCAAAAAAAAACAGATTCGCGACGCTCAGTGGGCGCCTACGTGCGTCATAGTGAACCATCATTGTACACTAACTGTCTAAACAGATAAACAGATCATCTAAAGGATTCAAAAATGTCAGTGGAACAATTGAATAGATTATGGCGAGCTTCACGTGCCATCAGCAGCTTATAGCGCTCATTTCCAGAGGCAAATTTTAGGAATTCATCTTTCAAGAATTCTCCTTCTCTTGAAGCCATCAGCTTGTTCAATCCTGTATTGGAAATTGTCTTTTGAAAATGACATCTCAACTCGAGCTCTTCATAGTCATCATCAAATTTCAGCATATGGAGAGACACAGCTTCAAGTTCTTCGGACAGGTTGGCGTTGAACCGGGATTTCAAGATTGATTTTAAATCAGAACCTGGAACGTTATGTGCAGTGGTGGTTTGTGTTTGAAGACAGCCTGACAACGTTCTTTTGAGAGCATACCCACAATTTGTCACATTTTTATAAGCTCTATACCTTGGAGTGTAACCGAAACGAACCTTTTTGCGAGCTGGTACTTTAGAACAAACTCTTCCCAAAAATCTTTCAGGTTTATAAAATTTCGATGACATCCAATCCTTCGTTTTAACTAACGACCTATCAGCTCTTGGACTTATGAACCTGAGAACTTTCTTGTTTTGTAAATGACTAGGAAGACTAACATGTAAAACTTCTTCAGTATCATCAATGCTGGAAAGTGAGTAAATACCATCAGAATCTGCTTGTGAAGTGCATTCAGTGGAACATCTCATCAAATTTGAGAAAACATCTTGTGACTCTTGAGAAGTGCTGGCAATTTTCTTCAAAGCGTTTTCTATTTGACTGACTAAGGTATAATCATAGGTACCACCATTAGGATCTTCTGTATACCTTTCCAAATTAGGCTGTGATGAGCTTGAACCGTTGGTGCTAAGTTTGCATGGCACCAATTCACTTGAATTAAAACTGACAGCGTCATTAGTTGACATGAAGATTGCGTCGGCTAATGATTGAAATTCTTCAGGGTCCAAGTCTTCACTTTTAGGGACTTCTTCAGAGTGATTACTCAAAGAAAGTGTAGGACATGTTGCTGTAGCATCTTCATTTGTATCAACAGGTTCAGTCAAGTGTTCCTGCACTTCACGACTTGTAGTAGAAATTGAAGACTCATCAATATACCTTGGCTGCGTTATCACCTGAAGCTCTTGGTGTAACTCCTTAAAAAGTTCATCATCACTATCGTCGTCTATGACTGCGATATTGTAGGTCTCCAATGGTGCGTTCATCTTGAGCTAGACTTCTCGATATATAGATTGTAGACACAGAAAAAACATTATAAGACAGAAAATTCCAAAGTTGAACATCACACCAGCTTTCTTATAAAACATTAAACATCTTATGTGGTGTAATGATACAGTTATAATGTGCTCATAGATGCTTCTTCGGTAATGGCCTCAGTAAGAGTACAATACATGTCAAAATCTCTTTAATGGATAACGTCAAGTGAGATTGCATATCAATTGTGCGATGTTTTCAAGAAATATACATCTCATGGTATAGATCTGTAGAAGTATAGTGTAAACCATAATTGGTTCTCGAATCTACTGACTTGTGATTGTCTTCGTGCTCTCGTACAATTTGACAGGTGTTTTCAAGAAGTAGTCATCTTATTATTCAATTAAACATCTCAATCATAAATAAGCACTAAAGCTATAGTCACCACTAATCCAAGTATTCAACATATTCAAAGAAACTTCTGGTTGATTATATGGAACCATATGACCTGCATCGAAGATTCTTAAAAATGTGAAATTGGCAAAACTCTTAACTTCACCAGCAGCAGTATGATTTGCACCAGCATACCAAGGTTGTAAAAATTGATTACTGAACTCTTCTTTATGTTTCCAATCCAATGCATTGGACCAAGCATGGTTACCCAACCAATTACAGATGAAATCTTTATCACCTGCATAAAGTAAAACTGCAACGTTTTTCTCCAATAATTCAGCAACGTATCCTTGGAAAGGTTTTGATTCATCACCAGTCAATATAAAGCTAGCAGAAACATCATTACTACAGCCTTCATAAGAATCAACTTCAGCTCCCAAGGCCTCTTGAACTTCCTTTTGATTCATATAACTGTCAATGTAATCCATACCTTCATAACATAATCCATTATCTGTTTCACATGGAGCTCTAATATCATATGGATTCAAACCTGTCTTTTGATAAACACCAACTAATTTATCACCACAATAAACGGATGCAGGAACACAGGCAAAAGCACTTTTAGTTGCATAACAAGCCTTGACCAATCTCTTACATTTTGAATAGTCTTTAATCATTTGATCACAAGCTTCATCTGTTAAAACTTGTTTATAACCACCTAATCCACAAGCCATTGGTTGATAGTAAGCATCTTGAATCAATGAATCGGTAATACCGTTACCAATTAAAACTGAATCTAACTCAAATGAGCGGTCAGCATGGTTAACAATTTCTGAGGCGATGTTTGGAATGTAATGACCAGCATAAGATTCACCAGCGATATGGAACTTGTTTTGGGAGAAGCTTGGGAATTTTTGGAAAAATAGTTCCAAGAATACAAAGACATCTTTAGCAGCTGCATAAGTTGAGCCGATTTTAGTATCACCATAAGAATAACCAACACCAACTGGTTGTTCCAAGAAAATGACACTAGCATTGTTATTCCAAGAGTAAGGGTTATGAATTGGTTTCAATTCAGGGCCTAACGAAGAAGGACCCAACTCAAAAAATAAACCAGTCATTGATGAGCATCCTGGACCACCGTTCAACCAAAGAATAACAGGGTCATTAACAGGATCATTTCTTGATTCGAAGAAATAGTAGAAAAGATGTTTATCTTCAAAATCGAGATAACCAGAAGTTTGCTTAACAGTATCAATACCTAATGAAGCAGGATTTGCCTTGTTCACTCTCATTTGATGATTTGGAAATTTAGCATTAGTGATGAATTCAAATTTTGAAGAATCAAACAATCTCAAACTTTGTTTTAAAGCTTTTGGAACTTGAGATTTACCAAAATCCATAATTTTTGAATTCAATTCTGAGATATCATAATCTTCTAAAAGGTCTTTCCAAGCATCACCTAGTGTTTTCTTTGTTAATTCAACCTCACCAAAAGAAAACTCTTCACCCAATTTGTTTAAACCAGGTAATTTCAAGGACAAGTCTGGTAGAATTTCACCCAAAAATGGGATATTAATGGACAGAGCCAAAGTATTAGCAGCTAACGCCAAACAAGCGAGTGATTTCATAATGTAGTCAATTCAATTGGCCTGTTTGCTGTTGTGTAAAGAGCAGAAAGCACGGGAGGCGAAGAAATGGGCCTTCTTAAATAGTCAAAAGAGGTTATCAAACTGATAGGCCATTTGGCAGATGGCTGGTGTTTGGATTTTCGCGGATTTAAATTTTTCTGTTGGAGTTTGGTTTCAATTTGGAAGTATCACCGAAAAGAGCATAAGGTACAACAGTTAAAAACTCGAGAGATAGGTGACATATTGTCGTATGGAATCATGGCTGTGAAGAGACATTTTACTGGGAAGCCAATTGGTCAGGAATATGAACCGAGCGATGACTCTGAACTGGAGTCTGAAGTGGAAGAAGACGAGAATGAAAAACAACAACAACAGAAAAGTATAAAGACGAATATTCAAATACGGCCAGTTGAAAGAGATGTTATTCAAAAAGATGAAGAGAAAGTAGAACAACCACTAGAGGAACTCCAAGCTGAGCAGGAGAATCAAAGTGAAAGTGAAGAAGAAGAAGAATCAAGTGATGAAGAGGATAGTAGTGAAGAAGAATCAAGTGATGATGAACCAAAGATGTTAAAACCAGTGTTTTTATCTAAAACCAAGAGAGCTCAAGTCATAAAATCGTCAACACCCCCGAAAACGAAAGATCAAAAGGCTGCTGAAGATAGAGAACGTACTCTGAAAACCATCGAGGCACATATTAATCAAGATATTGAATATCGCAAACAGTTGAAAGAATCAACTCAAAACTATGGTGGTATTGATGACACTGATGATTTAGATCCTGAAGCTGAAAGAACTGAATGGGAGCTGAGACAATTACAAAGAGAACAAAGGGATCGTGCTAAATTAGAACAAGAACAAGATGAATTGGAAGAACTAGAAAACAGAAGATTGAGAACAGAAGAGGAAAGAGAGAAAGAGTTCAGAGAAAAGCAAGCTACTGAAGAACAAAATGAAGATGGTTCTAGTAAGTCAAAAGCAAAAGGAGCCTTCTTTAGAGATGAAGAATTGTTGAAACGTGATCTTGGTGAAGAGAATGAAAAATATGATAAAAATTTATTACCTCAACGTTTCAACCCGGATAAACTCTGAGTAAAACTACAGATAGAGAACTCAATCAAGTTTATATATTCATAAAGGGGGGTCATAAAGCATTTGGAATTCCAGGAGAAGTGTCCAGGAGATTCAATGGAATCAGAAAGATGAAATAGCACGGCAATTGAATCAATTTGTTTTCTTCAATCTTGAATATCAGCTAAAATCTTGACACGAGCAGCTGCATCATATTGTTTTGGGTCAGTTGATCCATTCAAAAACAGCCCAATGGTGTATGAATATTGTGAAAAGTTATAAGGATCACTAGTGTTTTTAGCAACCCAGAAATTATCAGATCCATTACCTGATAAATAACCATCATCAATATACCAATTGACATTATCCGGTGTGACTGAAAGCTGTAAATATGGGAAAACGTTTGGGTAATTCACAATTGATAAAGTTTGTTTGAATGTACTACCATCTGCACTATCTTGAGATAGGAATATTTCACCATAATCAGTGATTGTATAATTTTGAGCATCATCACCTCCTAAAAACATATAATTGATCCCGGCACCTTCATGTGTTGAATAAAGTCCTTTATGGTTGATTTGGGTATCATTTGATTCTGTAAAGAAACGGACTGTTCTTGCTTGTGCTAATGCCAATGATGTTGCAGCTGTTGTTAAGATTGTTGAGAATTTCATTGTGGATTTTGTTGAGTCTTTGTTTAACTTTGGGAATTCTCAATCAAACAAGAAGGGACTTCTTTAGCTCTTTATATATAAATTTCAACCGTCAAGTTATTTGCCGTTTAGTTCAAAAATAGAATACATATTTTCTTTTCGAAGAGTTAAATGTAAATAGATGAACTTCACTCAAGTGCACAATGAGCAAAAGTTTCTGTGATTAAGCAACATGACAACAAGAAGCACCCTATTACACTTCCGTTTTAGGAGAAGTAATTGGATTTTTTTTATAAATAGCAAATCGATCGGATTATCCCCATACTTTTTCAACGACAGGACGACAAGGTCATATGACAGATACATTGATGATCAACGGTCACATAACTCGTTAAAACAACAGAGTCAGAGCGAGGCCATGTTAGATGGAAATAAGGTGTACTACTAGTACTCGAGGAAATTAACGTGAAACGAGATGAAAGAAATAAGAAACATTACTTTAGTTCCAGGTACTAACTAACATATTATTCTTCGAAGCAAAATTTGAAATTTGATAATGCACTTTATTCAGTGACACATTTTCTTTATATAAGGGTTTAGTACTCAAGCTCAAAAATAGCTAAAACCGCTCGCCAGATGTCACAATATAGTGTGTATCTACAAGACCCGAGGTTTACTGGATGTGATTGGCTCATAATTCGAACTTCACAACATGGTACAATATACTTCCAAACCGTTGGCTAGAATCTTCAATGTTGACTAGTAGCAACTATTTCAAATTTCATTCGCACTTGTATACTACTGAAACAATGTCCATTTACGCAAAGCTGGTACTTCTCAACCTCATCCAATATGTGGAGCATTAAGAATCATTTGGGGTTCTTTATTAATTAAAGCTTGCTATAATGTTTCTAGTAAGTTATGTTGTTCTGTTGTGCTTAAAATATCAATACTGATCATCGAAAGAGTCGCGAAAGTCTATTAAAGAGTCTGGAGTCTGGACTCAGAGGAGTCTGAGCTTGTACTGCTTTGATTTAAACAATAAATGTTCTGTTCCCAGATATAATCACCCACACTATGTATCTCCATACAATATACCAACAACAAGTGTCTAATTGTCAGATACTTTACTTAGTTTACTTTATGTTTAGGATTTAAAATTGTGTTAATTCCGATGTCATCGGCTGGACCAAAAAAAAAAAATACATCATCATCATCATCGTGAAATCTTGCTTAGCATCTTGAAGTACAAGACAGAGTTCAATTCATCCCAAAGACTCTTTTGATTCAGTTGTTTGATACTTCTCTCAAAATGTCATTCAAATTCATACCTTCCAATGCCTTGACTCCTTTACCAAAAGATATCCCAGAATTCCTGGCCCCTTATCTACCAAGATTAATCGATGATAAAGCATTCGTTACATTGACCTATGCCCAATCATTAGACTCTAGAATAGCTGCTAAACCAGGTGAGCGTACATCAATATCACACCCTGAAACAAAGACAATGACACACTTCTTAAGAAGCCAACATGATGGAATAATGGTTGGATTAGGCACTGTCCTTGCTGATGATCCAGGATTGAATTGTAGGTTTACAGAGAATGGGAATACAAGAACTCCAAGACCAATTATTCTTGACCCTTTTTTCAAATGGAGCTATAAAGGTTCCAAATTACAGAACTTGGTGTTGAAAGGTGAAAGTCTGGAACCTTGGGTTATAATTGCTTATGGATTGAATGAAGTGGAAAAAATTGATTATTTAGAGAAGCAAGGTGGGAAAGTAATAAGAATAAGATCTGATGAACGTGGGAGATTGTTATGGGATGATATTGTTCTTGGTTTGAAACAAATGGGAATCGATTCATTGATGGTTGAAGGTGGTGCTAGAATAATAAATCAATTGTTGATACGCCCAAAGATTGTGGATAGTTTGATAATAACGATTGGACCTACATTTTTAGGCGAAGAAGGTGTTCAAGTGAGTCCTCCACAAAGTGTGAAACTAAAGAATGTAAACTGGTGGAAGGGAACACAGGATACTATTTTAGCTGCTAATTTAGAAAACTCTGCATAACACTACAATGTGTAATTTCCTTTAATCATTAATATTCCAAAAAAAAATAATGTAGACTTTATTTTCTGCCTGTATAGTACAAATCTTTTAATTTTGCTTTTATGTTGATGCTAATTACTTATAAGCATATTCTGTAACTTGCATAACGACCACTGGTTTCACTTCTTCTTATAATCTTGACAACTTGACCTCTTCTTAAACCAAGATAACGAGCAACTGGATCCTCCCTTTGGATTCTTGGAAGTTGACTTTCTTTCAATCTATATCTTTCTAGTAATTCTTTCTTTTCATCATCTGACAAACAAATATGTTTTGGAACTAATTCATGATGTGTAATATTAACAATCAAATCATTTTCTTGAAAAGTTTCAATAACAGCAGGAGCAACAGTTGGAATCAACTTATTTGCACTTGAGGTAATACCATTTTGATAAATAAATATACCAGTACTGAAATTTTTTTCACTAATATGGATAACAAAATTTTTCATAGTTTTAATACCAACTGAAGCTTCATCACAAAATTCAACCCATAATGAACCCATGTTTGGAAATTTTTCTAAACTTTCCGCTGTTGGATTTGCTTGAAATGACATCAATTTTCTTTGTGGTCTACCCATAGCATCACAGTTCTTTGATCTAAACTCTTCAAGACTCATATCTATTTCTTCTTGTGTAATGAAATATCCTCTGTCTTTAACCATTTCTTTGATGGTTCTGAATGCTCTCCATAAACGGGAGACGGCTCTATCGTTCTCTTGATCCATTGTGGCTATAATGTGATGTGGTATATGCTAAAAAAACGAGAAAAGATCGTGAGCTCTTAATGGAAAACAAGAGATGAGGATGTATCTATTCAACGTATTCACTATGTTAAATTTGATTGATGTTTTTCTTTTACTTCAAGTTAAAAAAAAAAAAAAAATTTACAAAAATTTCCAGATCCTGGAATTTACACGGATCGGACTGAAAAGTACACAGAAAGACTCCTTCTAGAGCGTTAGGCAGAGATCTCCGCCTAGCTTTAAACTACTTGTATCAACTAGTTAAATCAAAATCATCAACACCATAATAATCATAAATAATATTTACCTCATCCATTCACTCTTCTTTACGTCTATAAGTAATCTGTATATCACCACTAGATCTCCAGATGGTTGCCTTCAAAGTTGCCAAAGTCATGTTATTTGGCAACACTTTATCATTACATAGCACTTCTAACCATTCTTCAGGTTTAACATGATGTGTCATTTCACTTGTCTTGCTTTCCATTCGATCTGTGATATAGGTCAATATTCTTTTGACACGTAACATATTGTAGGCATTAAGTCTGCAATTCCCATTAGTGATGTTAGGTATATCTGTTGCTGAAGGTAATCTTGAAATGGTGAATCCGATTTTTGGGAAATCTTTAATTGTGAATCTATTCTTTAAAATGAAATTGCCTATCCATTTTGGTAATAGGTTTTCTAAAGTTTGATAGTTTAGCGAGCTCAAAAACTCACTGTAAAGATCAAGTTCATTACTTGAACCACCAACACGTTCATTAATAATAATGATCAAATCATGTGGTAGCTCAATAACGGGAACTTCATATTTTGGTGGAGGAGTGATGTAGGAAACGTGTAATTGATTCGCATGCGAAATGCTGTCATATGTGTTTTTAATCTCTTGAAGGACAGTTTGGAATGAATCATCAACTTCAGCTTGTGAAGATTTTCTACTACCATCTTTCGAGCCTGGTTCTGAGTTCGGTTGAGATTTGGATGAAGCATTATCGCCACCATTTGATGTTTGGGGTTCAGGTGCAGTTGTAGGTTGTTGTGGAAGTTGGGATGTAGATACAGCATTTGCTGTTGGAGCAGGAGGTTCGTCAACTGGTCCTTCTTCTGAAATTGGTATACTTTGATTCTTTGATGATGATGATTTCCGTCCGAATAACTTTAGTCTTCTAAAGCTGGAAGGAGTGCCTGTATCTTCCTTCTTTTGGTTATTTTCAGAATTGCTGTCTTGAAGAACAGCAGGTGCAGATGATGGAGGTAATGAGCTTAAACTATCAGACAATTTATCACTGAAAAAGCTTTTGTGTTCATCAACAGGTGTTTGCGTTTGAGAATGAGGAACCGAATGAGCTGGAGTATTTTCATGCGATGATAATCTTGATAAAAGATGAAGCTTTGAAACACCTTTCAATTCTTTGATTCGACCTTCTCTTATTTCATGATCTTGACTCTGCTCATAATCCAAAAATTTGTGGAATATTGAGTTGATAACAATCTTCCCTAAGCTATACCTGGTCTCATGGTCTAATTTCAAGCCATATTCCTCAATATCATCACCATAAACCTCTGTGTTCAAATAAGTGGTTTCACTGAGTACAATAAATAATCTCCCAGCCTTCACTGTAACACGACACCATGTAGGCAATATTTCATTTGTTTGGTATTCATCAATAACATCTTCAAACCCAACATCGGTACCAAAGTTTTTCAGTTCCACACATCTAACAATATCCCAAAGTTTAACCTCATCAGAAGTACTCAGTGTAACAACATAACGTCTATTGTTAAGTAACCTTGCCTTAATCATACCGGGCTCGCCAACTCTAGTCTTTGAATGATCAGTCCAGTTTGTAAGGTTAGAATTCTCCATAGATGATGACCATATCTCATTTTGAAATTTGTTAATAGACAACACACCTTTCTTCTCATGTCCAATAATATCAGTGATGTCTTGATTTGTATGATATATTCTTCCTTTGGAATCACCAGTATAAAATTCATTAAACTCGTCATCATTGGAATATAATGACCATACAGAGTTTTCAAAATTGTAAGTTTTAAGAACTTTATTAGTTCTCAAATCCCATAGATGAACATTATGGTCAGATGACCCGGATAATAAATAGTTTTCACCAACGATTAATGACTTGACAGTATCTCTATGATTTTGCAATTCACAAATAGGTTTTGAACTCTTTGGATCAAATAATAAAATATTGGCTCCATTATCACCAAAAGCCACTAATCCTGTTGATTTATTTGATCCCAAAGTATAAATTGATCCTTTATCATCACTCAATTCATTTTCATATGCACTAACTTTAACACTTTTTTCAACATCCCATACATTAACAAAACGGTCCAACCCACCACTAATCACAAGACCATCACCAGTAACAGTCAACGCCTTCACATAATCATGGTGATGGCCAATGAGGGCATAATCATTTGTTTGGAAGTTCCATAGCTTAACGGACAAATCAGACGAGCACGATACCAAGTTTTCATTGTTTAGTAATTCGATATCGTTGACCCAATCAGTGTGGAGTTGAGAATGATTTTTAACATCAATATTATGATCAAAAACTGCCACTACACCATCTCTCCCACCAGTGAATAGGTGTGTGTTGTCAGATTTGATTGCATTTATGGGTAGAACATGTGATTCATCTTGACCATTGACTCCCAATACATAACTGAGAGACTTTGGATGGTATCGACTCATGTTTCTTTGCTGAAAAGACTGTGGACCTTGGACTCTTATTAGCTAGACAGAATTGAGAGGCAGGGGTATCTATGATAAATATGAGTAGCTTCAGCTAATTCAATGGAGTTTCTCTCTCTCAAACAACCTCAACAACTTGGTTGAAGATATCTTCTCGTTCGCTTTGAACAATTCCAGGTTCCTTTGAAGTTCGCTTTGGGGATTTTTTGACGACGAGCAACACGACACCCGCGAAAATAATAATAAGGCGCGAAAAAAATACGAAATGACACCAACTTGATATTTTACAGACTTTGAGAAAGAGATCAACGCTATAAAGTACATTATGAAGAACCTAACGCAGCAAGAAAAGGAAGTGGCAAGTGTAAGTGTTACAATGGTTGTCTTTTTACGCAATTCAGACAAGTATTGACACGGTTAATTCAGCAATTAAAGGCCAGACTATGGCTAGCCATCGCAAAGATCGTTGAAGAGGAATCACAGCTAATTGATGGTGAAAATAAGATAAGTGCAACTCCAAAGTTTGTCGCTTCACTAGTCGAACTGGTTTATAATCAAGCATTGTCGTTGGGAGAAGATTTGGAATCATTCGCAAGGTGAGTGTGTCGGGAAGATGTTTTTGCTGAAATTTACTAACCTTTTCAGACATGCTAAAAGAAAGACAATAACTCCAGAGGATTTGTTTATGGTGACGAGAAGGAATGAAGACTTGACAATGTTATTAAAGGAGTATCTGGTGGAAATGAATGGAAACAAAGTGCAACATGAAGACCCAGCACAACATGAAGAAAACGACGGAGACGATGATTTTGAGATGGATGATGAGCTAATACAGGCAACTACAAACAGGAAGTCACATAGATAGAACACTAATAAACCATTAAAGTAAGAAACAGTATTCAACAGTGTAGGTAACTCAAATTACATTAAACTTCCCAATTGAGCCATTTACTGTTTTGGGAAAGCTGATTACATAATTCTTGATGTTTTTTCTTTGGTGAAAAAAAAAGTTGAAAAATCGTTGGAAGTAAAGTTGGCTTCGAGAAGAACAACATTAGCAGTGTTTGATCAGACCCCCACATGATGCTAAGCATAACGTCGAGTCTCAGAAGGCTCAGTCTGGTGAAACCTCTCACTCAACAATCGCTCAGATTCAATTCCAGATATACAAAACCAGCACTTCCTCAAAGATTAGTTCAAGAATTTGTCCCAGAATTGAATGAAAAAAGAATCATCCCAGTTCATAATACTTATTATGCTGAAAATCCATATCATGAAGCCAATATGAAAGAACTTAATGACCTTTTACGTAAATACATCACACTTCCTGTTGTCACTGAAAAAGTTGGTAGATGGATCACATTTGAACAATATCAAGGTTTAGCAGGTAAAGAAAGATTAAGACCTGGTGAACACAGAGCTTTAACAGGTGTATTGGCAAGACTAAACCGTATTGACACACAATTGATACCTGATGACGTTCAAGCTGTGCTTGATAAATATTCACGTGCAAAGACTAAAGAAGAGGAACAAAAAATTGTTAGAGAATTAGACGCTGAAGGTAGATCAAGAACTATTGGTAGAAGAAAAAACGCCAGTGCTCTTGTTTATATGGCTAGAGGTACAGGTGAAATCATTGTTAATGGTGTTTCAATGAATAAATTCTTTAGAAGACTACAAGAACGTGAAGATATTCTATATCCATTGAAAGTTGTTGAAGGTGAAGGTGAATATAACATTTTTGCTACTGTTGAAGGTGGTGGTTTCAGTGGTAAATCAGGCGCCATTGTTAATGGTATCGCCAAAGGTTTAATCATCCATAACCCATTATTAAAACCAAGATTATATAAAGCAGGATGTATGACTAGAGATCATAGAGTTAAAGAAAGAAAGAAACCAGGTAAGAGAAAAGCCAGAAAGAGTCCAACTTGGGTCAAACGTTAGAAATACTGTCTTTCATTTGCACCATTTGTATATATACAACATTGGAAATATCATGTATTTAAATTTGCACTATCTTTTTTCAAATGAAACCATTAAACAACTAACGATATAGATTCTTGGGCAGTCAATTTATATCACTTTCTCTTGTCAAAATTTCAACGCCCCGAAAATTTGACACATATCGATCATTCCCTTATAATCAGATACCTGTAACATCTTCATCGTGGATCTCTAACGGTTTTGAGCAGATACTTCAATCCTTCTGGTTCTTAGATGATACTGTGCGAATACAGCATTTGGGTGATAAAATCTGTACAAAAGTAATGGAGTTCTAGATTTGAATTCATCGAATGAGACAGACCTGATAAGTTTAGAAAATGAAAAAGTGCACTAAAATTGAAAGCGTCTCCTGGAAAAGCAGATCAACAGATCACATTGAGCTTCGCTCAAGACCACTGGAACTAGTGGAAAGTTGAAGCAACTTTATGGTTATAAAGTTAAGCTGCTCATGACCTCGGTGTATGGTTATCCTAACGATTTCACTTACTGTCTGATCTGGCAGGCCAACTAAGGTGGTAAGCATTGATCCTGTTGGTTGGTTTACCTCGTGCGATAGAGCATTGCAGTCATCCAGAACAACTCCTTGCAAGCACCTTCCCTCCAAAGTTATAACCAAATGTTCGGATGAGAGTTTGTCAATAGAATTTTCAAAAAGTTCATTCCAGCATGGTGATAACAGCAAGTTTTGTGAGTATCTGAACCATCCGATGGTGATCTTTGATGCCTCCTTTGTGAATAAAACTAAAAGAGTCCACAATTCACAGACAGCCAAAGTGAAGTATATAAATGGTCTAGCTATAGTCCAGCAACAAAATGATCCAATAGAGTCGAATTCGCTGATATCAACTAATCTAGAATGGAGCACAAAAGTAATGTAAAAAACAACCCTTATGAATGACAGTGCAAACATGATTTTCTTTCTCTTCTTTTCAGCAAAGCTGAAATATCTTGAAAGTTCTATTGAGGAAATCATTTCAGTAACATTACGCTTAATGACCCTTGTAGTACTGTTAGCAATTCCAACAAGTGATTTGGAAATGGCAATGTAGGGCATGATTGTAAAGCTCATGATATCTTCCCTAATTGGGATGTGAAATGTGTCTTTTAAAGCCATAAACGTATTTGGAGTCATTAGGCAGATGATAGGAATACTTAAAGCCACTGATCATATTGGATAGTACAAGGGTTGTTGAGATTTTAGATTTGTATGGATTATTCGTATTGACACTGATCATCAGACAGATGTAACATTTCGGATGTAAGCGGATATACTACAATAGACAATAATAAAATCAAAATTTTGAATAGAAACGAATGGTCTCGAAACTGAACCACCCAGAGGTAGAGACGGTAAGAATATAAAATAAATCTGTTTAGCTAGTAATCATTAATGAGGGAATCACTCCAAAAGTGTCAAAGCAGATACAAAATCACCCTTACCTCTAACCTTGGATCTAGCAATAGCAGCAGTTAAAATTGAAGCATAAGACCAAGTCAAGTCCTTTGCACCCCTCTGTACCCCAGTATCTTTATCAAACTGCTCAGAATAGTGACCATCATCTCCAGAATAATATTTGACAACTCTTAAGTACGCATCACCCCAAGCAATCATAGCTTGAATCAACTTACTAAAATCTTCAGAATCTTTGGTAATAGTTCTTTCAGTAGCATCAACTCCCGAGCCATAAAATTTCCAGAATGGTGCAGTTAAATTAGAAATGGTTATTGAACCTTTATCTTGGAAATCTTTAGCAGCAGTGAAAAAATATTCTGCAAAAGCGGAATTTGACAAATACCATGGGTTAGCTAGACTGGATCCAGTCCCATTGTAAACATCCTCTGGATATCTTCCAGTTGGTGGAGCTAATGGTAAGCCACTTTGATCATGAGTGGTCTGGGATAAATTGTACACATCAATAAATGAAGTGGCAACTTCATAGACTGTTCTCACGACATAGTCATCAGTAGGAGCAAAAACACCATCACCTAGATAAGCATGATTAATAGCTAGAATGACTGACAAATCTTTATATGAAGCCTTCCCCCTTTGTACAGGGCCATAAGTATTCAAAATGATGTTTCTCAAAGGATAGACAAATGTTGATAATGTATCATTCAATTCATTGGCAGCCTCTGTGAGAGTCTTGTATGTTGAGAAGTCCTTCAGGTATTCAGACGCGAATTCAGCACCTTGTATCAGCGCCCGTCTTTGAACAAATTTTGTAAAGAAATGATCTGAGTTAACTTCTTCCCATAAATCAAAGTTTGATTCAGTCCAATTTGAAGCAACAAATTTCAAATCAACCAATATTGGCTCTTCCCAAGCCTTGTCAATAATGTAGTCTCTATCACCACCTTTTTTAATGTAGTCTTTGACAAACTCAATCAAGGCAAAAGCTCTAATAGCTGGACCATCATTTTGAGGACGACCCCAAGCACCTTGATACCCCGAGTTATTACCCAAGTAAAACTTAGGTTCACCTAACCCAGCAATGGCGCTTCTATCTTTCTGTTCATCAATTGAGGCTTGGATGAATTGCAGAAAATAATCCTCAATATCTCTAGCTGCAGGTGAATCTCTATTTGGTAAGGATTCATATAATTTGAAGATGGCATCAAAAGTCAAACCAGCATCACGAATCCAATGATAGGCATAATCTGGCTCATAATATGATTGAGCAGCAATGACCAATCCTGGAACTGAGCCATTGACATTGATGTTATCAAACACACGAGTTTTAGATTTGTAGGATTGTGCGTTCAAGTCAGTTGGGTTCAACCAGTTGTCTATATCCTCGTAGAAACCTGAAGGAGTCACTTTTGGTTCTGGAGCTTTTTCAGACTCTTTTATTTCACCTTCTTGTTCAACTTCAATATTCAATTCTTGCGAATAAACCTCACCAGTAGTAATGGAATCAAAAGTGACATTCAATAATTTGGTTAAACCTTCTTCTTGATATATTGGAGATGATATTGACCAAAGTTCCCAGTTATTACCCAGGTCTTTTAAAAATTGACCAGCAAGAACCGTCAATGGTGTTGAGTCTCCTTCCGTGTTTTCATAATACAAGTAAACATTCTTGTCATAACCGTCATTATGCACAAACAAATCAGCATTGAAGGTACCTGAGGTGTAATTATAAGATGCTAATTGAACATGGTTTGTTGTATTGACTTCAAATGGATTTTCGAGTAGTATTGAAGCAAATGCAAATGAGGCACTTGCCAAATTATAAAACTTGTTGAAAAGCATTATTGAATAGTGGATGATGATCGAAGCAGCATTGGAACACCACATCTTGTAGGAATCATTTGATTATTATATACCCCATTAGATGTGTTTTCATGAAGAGGAAAGTATTGCCACACTAGTTACTCCGTGTCTCAATGTTTCAGCAATGACCGCTTCCAATTGGAGCTTGACCTTGGGGGGTTTTGTTCTTTGTCTTGAAATATGAGGTCTTTTAAAATGACTTTTTAGAGGAAACGCAGTATATTCAAATTGTTGATTCGATGTTGATGATGCTTTCTGGGGTCTTCCCGAGAATTGAAGCAAACGGTTGTAAATCTTGACCTAAAGGATACAAAATTCCTATTCAGCTGAATGATCCGAAATCAAAACAAGAACGTGATGTGTGATTCTGGGGGGACTGTCCAAATCTGTTGGTTAAGAGCTGGAATAATGTGGAAACTATTCGGTTGTGTTGGTTTATTTTGTTCCTGGATTTTTCTCAGTATTAATTCGGATTTTTAATTCGAGGACTTTGAGCAAGCAAGAAGCTGCGCACTATTACCATTCATTTATAAGTAGAAATCAGATATCCTGTATTGTTACAGCTTTCTAAAGTATGTTATTGTTTGAGCTGTGTGTGATGGCCCAGTAGAAGTCTCTTTCATGAACTCAAATCATTCGCTCAATTTGGCATTTGCAACGATTCACGTTCGGGGAATTATTGATTTCTTACGAAGTGTTAAAGTTCATCCGGGGTGAAGTACCCCAGTGACTACATGCTCTTGAATACAAGAAACCACGCTCACAATTTGGAGTTGGAATTGTAGGGGTTGACTGATCTGGTTTTCAACAGAATACATCAATTATCTGGCTTGTGGTCACCCAAATCTCAACTTAACCTCTCACAATCTACTGCCATATATATCGGGTCAATAGCACTAAACTGTTAAACATTAACATAGAAAAATGTATACTTTTGAGTAGAAGAATTCTTATTGCTAATTGATATATTCACAAAATGATCCAGAATATCTAAAACTTCTCTAAATCTCAATCAAACTTGACTTTAACAACAGATTCATTTCCACGGAACCCTCTCCACGGTTAGGCACAGCGGACAAACTCGCCCGATCAGAAGCCACCCCATATAAATTGACCACGAATTCTCCAGAATTCCAATTTACACGACTTGGCTCTTTAATTAAACATCAACAAAAAATAATGTCAGATCAAACCTACTAAAAAGACGGGTATGAATCCACAATCTCCCAACCTCATGCTTGGAGAACAGCTAAGAACTCGAGTGGCTATATGTTGAAGTACATCAAACCAACAGATAAGATTTTAGATGTGGGTTGTGGACCAGGAATGATTACTTATGATCTTTCAAATTATGTTCCAGAGGGTGAAATTATTGGAATTGAACCAACCAGAGAGCTCATTGATGAAGCTTTAAACAATGAAAAGTCAGATGCAGTTAAGAATGTGAAGTTTCAAGTCGCCTCTGTTTTTGAATTGCCATTTCCTGACAATTATTTTGATATCGTTCATGCTCACCAAGTTATTATACATCTACAGCACCCAATTGAGGCTTTAAAAGAGATGAGACGCGTATTGAGGCCAGATGGGTATTTGTGCTTCAAAGACGCCGAATTGAGGTCAACTATATACTACCCGAGAAAATACGAGGACCCATTAGGATATTACATGACAAAGATCAGAACAGAGTTCACAAGCTGCTTTGGTGCTTCACGTTCAAAAGAGTTGACTTTGGAAGCTGGCTTTGATCCAGAAAATATTGTGTTCACTTCTTCCAACTGGACGATTTCCAGCGAGGATGATCGAAGATGGTTCTCACAGATGTACATCAACCGTTTAGAAAGCCTAGAGTTTGGGAAAAGTGACAAGTATACCAGTGAACAATTAGAGCTGGCTTGGAAAGAATGGGCCAGTGATGATAATGCAGTATGTATACTTCTACATGGTGAGATTGTTGCAAAAAAGTGATCATTTGTTTTGTATTAAAAGAGTTTCGTTTGTAGTCAATGTGTAGATCTACGAAGGAGTAACAAAAAATATAAACTTTTGTACAAAAGTAATAAAAGCAAGAAGGATCGAAATTGATCCACTGTGAAACGTAGAAAGAAGTGAAAAGTAAAGAAGAGAGCAAGCTCATCATTCTAATCGGGCCAAGTTGACGATATAAGAATCATCACCTTTTAAATTTGCTCTAGCAAAAGCTGCAGTCAACAAAGACGCATATGACCAAGTCAAATCAGTGGCACCTCTTGGAACACCACTTTCTCTATCAAACTGCTCTGAAAGATGGCCATCCTCACCAGCATAATGTTTGATAGTTCTGATATAAGCATCACCCCAACCAGTCAATGCATCAATCAATTTGGTGAAGTCTTCAGAATCCTTGGTGATAGTTCCTTCAACTTCAACATTTGGTGCATAGTACTTCCAAAAAGGTGAAGTGTGATCATTGATTGTAATTGAACCTTGTTCTTTGAAATCATTTGCAACGTTATAGAAATATTCAGCAAATGCAGCAGTTGATAAATACCATGGGTTACCGTATGATGTGTTGACACCATTATAAACATCCTCAGGGTATCTTCCAGTTGGTGGAGCTAATGGTAAACCATTGTCATCTTGTGTTGTACTAGAAATACTAAACACATCAAGGAAAGCTGTACCAACTTCATAAACTGTTCTGATAACATAGTCATCAGTTGTATCGAAAACACCATCATGTAAATTGCCGTGGTTTATACCCAATAATGTGGAAGCATCCTTACGGGACGACTTTCTATGAATCACAGGGCCATAGTTCACAATGATGTATTTCCTTAATGGATTAGCAAAGTTTTCCAAGGTAGCGTTCAATTGATTGAAAGTTTCTGTCAAGGTCTTATAAGTTCCGAAATCTTTCAAATTTTGTGAAGCAAACTCAGCACCAACAGCCAATGCCTTTCTTGCAACTAATTTATTGAAAACGTTATCAGAATTAACTTCCTCCCAAGCATCATAACTTGATTGGGTCCAGTTCTTAACAATGTAATCCAAATCAACTTTAATAGGAGCTTCCCATGATAAACCAATAATATAGTCTTTATCTCCACCTTTCTTGATATATTCTTTAGCAAAATCAATCAAGACAAAAGCCCTGATGGAAGGACCATCATTTTGTGGACGACCCCACAATCCTTGATAAGCTGTATTGTTATTCAAATAAAATTTTGGATCACCTAAACCTTTGATTGCAGTTTGATCTTTTTGTTCATCAATTGAAGCTTGGATGAATTGTAAGAAATAATCTTCAAGGTCCCTAGCTAGTTTGGTATCTCTGTTTGGTAGTGATTTATACAATTGAAGAACCAAATCATAAGTTAGTCCAGCATCACGGATCCAATGGAATCCATAATCTGGTTCAGAAAAGGATTGAGCAGCAACAACCAACCCAGGGACTGATCCGTTAATATTGATGTTATCAAAGACACGAACTTTGGACTTGTAAGCTTGTGATGATTTATCACTTGGGTTTAACCAAGTATCAATATCTTCATAAAACCCAGAAGGTGTTATAACTGGAGCATGATAAGTAGGAGTTTGAGTTACTGGATCTTGTTGTTCAACATCAATATCCAAAATTTCCAAGAAATAATCATCATTAATTTGCGAAAAGCCAGTCAAGTTCAATAATTTGGATAAGCCTTCACCTGATAAGATTGGATTTGAAATTGTGTATAAATCCCAACCATTATCTAATTTTTCCACGTTTTCAGCATTAACACCAGATAGTGGAGTTGAATTACCTTCAGCATCATTATAATATAAGAACACCTCTTTTGTGTAACCATCATCATGAACGAAAACTTCTGCATTTAATACACCTGAAGTATAGTTGTAACTGGCCAACTGAACATGATTGGAGCCATTAGCTTCATCTGGGGTGGTTTTCAAAGTGACACCAAGTGCAATTGAGCTATAAGCCAGAGTATATACTGTATTGAGAAGCATTTGGATTTCTTTTCAGTGTATAATGTCAAAATTCAAATGAAGTATACCTAGAAATATGAACATATCACTGTCTTTTTATAACTATGGCAAGGTTTCTTGAGTGTCATGACCATTCAAGTACTTGATCCTCGAGGATTTAATGCACATTGGACCCCAGATTTCCAGGAGAAACTTGTATTGAAGCGAATCTCTCATTAACCTAAAATGGATGATCTCAATTGTTCCGAGAATTAGGTCTGTTATTGTAGATCTTCAAAGCCCCTATAACCTGAACATAGTATAGCTCTGAATACACTTCCTTAGCACGGTATCATCCCATGATTAATTGGTAAAGTGAGAGGGGGTGGTGATACAGTTTGAGGTGTTAATCTGTTTTAATGTTGTTTGTTCATGATGGTGGAAATTTGTTGAACAAGAAATCGCGAAACACAGCTTGTAGTAGGTGTAACTCTTGAGGACAAATCAGTGAGTAATGGTGATTCAGTATGCTCTGACAATATGGTATGAGTGTAAAGATAAGTTGAGATTATTATAGTATATAGTAAAAGGATAAGATTGTAATTCCTACTTCATGAATTAAAACCTGGAGCTACTGAGGGTAACCCAGCTATGATCGCGACGTCGACAATATTCTCCTGTCTTTTTCAGTATGTAACAGTATATCATAACAAATCTTTTACACCCTTGATCTTGGAATGACACTCGACCTTCGAATTATGTTTAGGTACATTTGCGCAATTGAAATTTAGTATCAATGAAGATAGAACCAAATATCAATTATTCTTTTCATCACCTGGAAGTCACCATTTTATCAAACTGATATGAAGTGAGGTAAGTAAAATTGGAATCTCTTCAATGGTATAATGAGCTGCGTTTCTATAATGATTTCACCAATCAAAGTTGAATAACACAATGGTGATTCTCTATATGGATAAATTGCAAATGCTGCATCAATATAGGTTTCTAGAATCAGCTCTTTATTTCCTTGATCAACGTTCAGTGACTAATTTTTTATTCAAGTTGAATTTCACGAAGTTGATAATGTTTTTCAACTGTTCTTTTTAGTTGAGTAATTACTCAATCTTGATAAAGTTTGATCGTTTTGTCGCTCAGTCAATTTTCGTTTGGTATCAACTGAAATAATGTTGGTTCAACTATAATTTTGGATTGAGTAGCAATTTTCGGCTAATTGATGATTTATTTACGTCTAATAATAAACATTAAACGTTCAAATAGTCCATGATATAACTCATGTGTTAGGTTTTTAATGTAGGGTATCCAACAGCTTTAATTTTGTGATAATCAGACGTGCGTACTTGCAACAAAATGTGCTCTTGTTTGATTTCAAGTACTTTAATTACACCGCTATTGATCTTTGGATTATATACGTAGTTAATCCTAATATTTACATAACTCATATAACGAATCCATTATATAATTATTAACTAGCTTCATGTAAAGATCGCTCATGACGTTTCTAGCCTAAGCCTAACAATACTTTCAATGTTTAGCGCATATTATTGGATACAGAATGACTACGATCCAGTATATCAAGGTAACAACATTAATATAGTATAAATGAAAAAAAAAACCCCAAGCTTTACTATAACCAAACCCTCACAACCTTCAAAAACCAACCAAATAAGTACAAAAATTAATAGAGCATATAAAAATAAATTCCAAACAAATACCTGATTTTAAACATCAACACCTATAATTCACTCAGAACCAGCAAAAACCAACCCAAAAAAAGTTGCAACAGCACCCGTAGCTGCACCAACCGTCCCTGCTATTAATGTACGTTTCAACTGTCCTTCCGTACGTTGTTTCTTGTGGAGAACCTTATAATTAACTTCTTTAGACTCTTCAATTTCCTCAGGTTCATTAACATCAGACCAGGGTCTCTTCTTGGAACTGAGATGATAATCATAAGAATCAATACTATCTTCATCGATTTGTAATTCATCACCAGGAACATAATCAGAATCATCAGTTTCATCATCTCCTTCAACAACCTTGTTCAAAGCTTGATTATACATCTTTTTGACGTTATCGAAATGATCTTCCTCAGAGGATAAGTCACTAGACATGGACACCTCTGACTCAGCATCTAATTCTTTAATAACTTTGATGTTACTTAGCTCTGGAAGGTATTCAAAATCAGAACCATCACTATCATCATCCCAAATATCATTAT